CGACGAAGAGTAATATAAATCATAGTAAAATATTGGATTATAATCGCGGACTGAACGGAGTATATGGCGACGATGAAGGTGGAGATGGAATGATAATAAATGGAAGAATAAACGGAAGCACTAGCGGAACTTTTAAGTCTAGTGCTATCCGAATCACCGGACACGGGCCGAAAAGCGAAATCACCGAAGATACGGTTCAAGTAAGAGAAGCAGGAACGATAAAAGCAGGTACGACTACAACCGCGATTGCGTTAACTTTAAGCGCCACTAGTCAAAACCAAAGCCAATCTCGTTCTCAATCTCGTTTCCAAACTCGTCCACATTTGGACCCGAATCTCCATCATTCTGCACGAGACTCTGCACGAGACAGAGAACCTGCAAGAGAACCTGCAAGAGAGCCCCATCAAAACCCCCATCCCCTAATTCGTCACAAACATAACCCCAGCCTTCTTAACCCTCCTAACCCTCCTAGTCCGCCGCCTAGAACCTCATCGCTTCTACCGCCGCCTCGTAGTGCCAACACGAGAACAATATCCCCTGCGATTCCGTCCGAGCGTTCGACTGATTCAACTTTAAATAACCCGCGAAACCATTCGCGCAATCATTCGCGATCTAGTAGCACAGACGGCGCAAGCGACGGCTTTCGAAACCTCAATCGCTGGTCCACGTCCACTACATCGAGCTTAGCTTCTAATCGCGATCACGAAACCCCCCAATCCCAACCCCAGTCTCAATTCCAATTCCAATCCCAATCTCAGAAACCGCAACAACAACAAAACGAAAAAGAAAAAGAAAGAGAAAAATATCAACAGCAACAGCAACAGCAACAACAATATCAAGCGATTCAATCTCCACCGCGGAAACTAGACAGACGACGACCTTCTAAAGATACGAGCGCGTCACCGAGAACCCGAAGACCATTATCACCGCCCCCACCGCCTTCTTCTTCAGCGCCACCGAATCTACCCCCTATCATCTCCCTTCCCCCTCTCGACGCGAATCCCGAATCGGTTGTCCGTACTAATTCTCCCGCGCAATCCATAATTCGCGCCAATTCGGCCGAACCGCAAGACAATACTTGGAATGACCCTACCCGCTCGAACATAGTCGCCAAAGGAAATTCTACATTGCTTCCATCAGCGCCTGTTATCCGTGATATTATGTCTGAGAGGGAGAGGAAGAGCCATGCAAGAGGTCGCTCTTCAGCTACGAGAGGCAGCACCGACTCGACTCGGGTTAATCGTGTCAACAAGCCATCGCAGAAAGCCATGTTATCTAAAGCGTTAGGAAAGGCGAACGCCGCAGTCCAACTGGATAATGCCCAGAACTACGCTGCAGCCCGGGATTCCTATCTAGAAGCTTGCGATCTCTTACAACAAGTACTTGCTAGGACAAATGGTGAAGAGGATAGGAGAAAGCTGGAGGCTATTGTAAGTTTACTAACCTAATAGATTTTCGTGACCAACTGTTGCTACTTTTTTCTGGAACTGACTCATTCTCTTGTAGCGACTTACGTACACAAGCCGAATAGACGAGTTAGACGAATTGCTTCCCGCATATTTACAAAATGATAAAGCCTTACCCGCAAGGCCGGAGGATGTTGATGATTATCATGGAGTTCAGATCGATTTGGCCGGCTCCGAAGACTCCGCAGAAGCCTCGGGGGGTGCGAGGATAAATATGGGCGAGTCTCCCCCTCCGGACGCGTCCCGTATTCGGTCCTCTCCAAATCCCAGCCAGGGCCAGCCGCTGCTCCAATCTGCCTTCTCAGGGTCCCGGATGCGCCGAAATTTCGAAGGACCCTCTCTCAGTTTACCCCAGCAGGATGGAGGCTTTGTACCTGCTCCATTATCACCCAGAAGGACGGCTTCGCCTGCTAAGCCCCCAACACCGGAGCCCATCGTGCGGCAAGATTTCTCCTGGCCGGCTGACCATCTAGCACCCGAGAACGGCGCGAGGAGCCATAGGCGCAATCTTAGTCACGAATCGGGGTCGTGGCTGGATCCAATCGATGAGTCAGGTGGTTCGGCTTCATCCTCGATTCACTCGAGGACCTCGTCACTGGGAGTCAGGAGGAAACATCTCCGCCATACCAGCAGTAACACAGAGGCAGAGTTCGACGCCGCCTTAGATGCTGCAGTAGAAGCTGCTTACGACGAAGGATTCGAACCTATGGATTCATACGATACCGTCTACGACGATAACAATGATTCAGATACCGTTGATGTATTGAGCAACGCGAGGCGCAAGGTAGAAATTGCTAAGGAAAGAGTCCGCCAAACCGAACGTGAGGCGGCGATCGAGCTAGCCCGGGAACGCGAACGCCAAAGACAGATGTCAATAGATCAGAAATCTCAGGTCTTCAGCGGAGATTTCTTTGACGCTAACGATTCAGACGAAGAAGAACGTGTCTTGGAAGAGATGGCAAGGAGATCTGTGATGGAAGAATTTTCTCCTAAACATCGGTCCCAGCATTCACAATCTAGAATCCCTAGGGAATCTGATTCCAGCGGAACAACCTCTCGGACGTGGCATAGTTCGGTCGGTTCGAATCCTCCTACCTCCACAACTATATTATCAACAGTAAACGAGATGCCACTACCTAGAGCTTCCTCCAAAGGTTCAGCGCCATCGTTGCCATCTCCACCACGATCGCTTGCGCAAGGCTCCCCGTCGCAGAATTCCCCGACGTCTGGTGTGCGTAACCGCCGTCTCTCCGGGCAAAACCCTAAGCAGCTCAAGATTGAAACCTCTAAGCTCGGTCAACCGCCATCTATCTCTACGTCTACACCTCAAACAAAGACGGCAGGTGGTTTTATTGCTCAACAAAGACAGGCATTGTCGGCGACAACAACGCGACCCGGACCTTTTTCCATGCGTGCACCTTCATCGCCTGTCAGAGGCATTAGCCCAGCAGGAGTCACAGCTCCTCCAAGCCCGCCGGCAAATTTAGCAGGTCCTCATGATCTTGAGGAACATCGAACCGATTCACCGTCCTCTGTGCGGCCTGGTATACACAAGAATTTCTCTTCTTCCAGTCTAAAGTCTCTGAGGACTCGTCAATTTTCTGTGTCGCATATCGACGACTCGGACCTCTCGCCCAACACGCCTCTTAGCCACCAAATTTCGAACACATCGATCTCTCGCCAGGCCATGATTCCCGCATTACCCACACCTCTGGCCGCTGCCTTTCACGAGCGAATGGCAGGCGGTGTTGGCGGTCTACATCTTTTCGATTCCGATTTTCATTCTCCGACTTCCCATTCTCCCAACCAAGTTTACCATAGCCACCACCTTCCTCACAACCCTGACGTACCAATACCTCTAGAGCCGTGCCCGTCTGATACTATGCTTCGACCTTTCTGGCTCATGCGGGCCCTTTACCAGACCCTCGCCCACCCTCGGGGTGGATATATTAGCACTCGGTTATTCATTCCTCGAGACGCGTGGAAAGTTAAGGGCGTTAAGCTCCGCGCTCTCGAAGATAAGATTGCTCAGTGTGACTTCCTAACCGCGGCACTTCTCAAGCTCGCAAGGGTAGACAGTAATGACGCAGATGCGGTGCTCGAAGAAATGCAGAGTTTTGAGAATATTTTGGAGGCGGTTCAGATGACACTTACGCGGAAGCTTGGTAACGAGGTGGGCACACAAGGCATGACACCCTTCCGAGAAGACAGGGAAACCGAAGCTGCACCGCCAGTACCACGTAGCGCAAGTGTTAGCGGGAAAGGGGGCGCATTTAGCTGGCGAAGGCTAAGAAACAAGGGCTCGGCTGCTAACATGACCAATGCATACGGAGGGAAGACTAACAGTAGTGGAAGCGGCGGGCCTGGCGTAAGCGAGAAGGATATTCCAAGCTCGATTGGATCGGGATCTATACCAAGTTTACCCTTGACAGCTCACCCAAGCAGTAGGCCTGCGAAGAGGGATCCCGCATCAGTCAATTTTGATGGACCGTACGGGAACTATATGGCGAGCTTAGCACGATTGTTTGACGCTGCGCAGACGGTTGGTAAGTGTTTATTCCAACAGTTCTACATTTCCTTTTGCGCATACTGAATACTGAATACTGAATACTGAATGCTAACGACTACCAGATCAAATCGCACGACAAGTCGAGGATCCTGGCTTACGTCATGCGGATAAAACTCAAGTTGGGCTTGAGCTTTGCACCAGACATGCAGCTGAATTTTTCGGATTTTACATCTGCCGGTTCGTGCTAGCTGACCTGGCGATGCTTCTTGATAAGTTTGTCAAGAGGGGTAGCGAATGGGTGCTTAACTAAATATGCACACAATGCGGACAACTCCTGCTTATATCAGGAGTGGATTATGCTGGTTTCTATCGATACAGTAGGGTAAATGTGTTGACGAAGGGATGAAGGTGCCAAAGATCACCTACCGGAATGGTGTCACAATAAGATTCCCCAGAATAAGTTTGGTGGTTATGATTAACTAGCACCTATTAGGAAGAGGAGGATTTACGAGATCGCGGCCTGGTATTGGTCGATATTCGTGAGAAGTATAACTATGAGTTCGGACTTGCGAACCAAATGACTGAGGAAGGGTTCATGTTGGCGACACCATATACGCGCCCAACTTTCTTTAACGTGTATTTCAAAGGCGCTGGATTATATCCCCTGGATGGTCTTATGACTTGATGTAAGATACCATAGGTCATTTACTGTCTGATCTCTGCTTCAGTTCGCCGAGCGATGTATAGTATACATGGGCGGCAGAGTACTTGTTAGGATTCTAGATCGCATCGCGTCGCGTCGCGCCGTGTTTTATAGAGGCACGATGACGACCGTCTATAATTGAAATTTTCCATTCAGGAGGGTGCTGTAAATCGCGCCTCATTCATACATATCAAGTCATCAGTCTCGATTGGATTCTATTAGAACATGTTTACAGCCTTGGACGACGTATATCTACGGCATCTATAAGTTCTCCAGAGATATTATTATCATTACTTCTCCCCATTGTCCCGTTAAGTATATATCACGCCGTAGCCACCTCCACAATCGTCTTATAAAACTGCGCCGGATCATGCGCAAACCTTCCCAAAAACAGCCCGTCCACCCCATCCTTCAGTTGCGCGAAAAGCCCCGGCCCAGCACTCCCTCCATATAGGATCCTAGTATTCCCTTCCCTATTCCGCACGCACTCCAGACCCCGGATAGCCTGCGTGACAGCAACTACGTGCTCCGCGCCCGCGGGCTCCGCCGCACCGATCGCCCAGACGGGTTCGTAAGCTAATACCATCTCGGCAGTTGTAGGGAGCGCGGCGAGCACAGCTTCGACCTGCGTTCTACACTCGTCGACGGCAACTCTAACACCCTCATCTCCATCTGCCTTTGAGCGCTCTCCGATGCAGATTAACGGGATCAAACCATTACGCGCCGCAGCTGCCGCCTTGCGTGCGGTGTCGGCATCTGTTTCGCCGAAGATACGGCGGCGCTCGGCGTGGCCTAGTTCTACGATGCGGCAGCCTACTTCGCTGAGGACTGCGGGGGATATTTCCCCGGTGTAGGCGCCGATATCTTCGTAAAAGGCATCTTGAGCGCCGGGGAGGATGGGGATGGGAGAGCGTTGGAGTTGGGTGATGACGGAGGTGAGGGTTATGTGGTCAGGAATTATGAAGATGTCGATGTTGTTTAGAGGGGTTGAAGGGGAAGAGAGGATTTGTAGTAGCTCGTCGACGTATTGCTTTGTCCGGGCGGCGGAGAAGTACATCTTTGTGGAGACGCCGACAATGCGGCGACGGGGAGGGGATATAGGTGCGGGTGCGGGTGAGGTCATGGTTGGAGTGATGTAATGATATAATGTATAATATAATGTATAATATATGTAATGTAATAAGTAACTATTTCAATTTAAGGCTAAATTCAAAAAGAAACATTGCACAGATGAACAGGATTTACAGGTTGCATGTGAACTTATAGTTATGCAGTTGAGATATCACTTGCGTTAGTTGTCGAGATTAGCGAGGCGGCCTTTTTATAGTGTTGAATCTGGAAATCCGGTATGTGGGTAATTAATTCTACGTAGGTACCTCTCAAGCTTGTTTCCTTATATATGAGTTTCTAACATGTCCGTCTTATGAGATCATATGTTGTATACCTAAAGTAACCAAAGTATTACTTAATTGCAAGTTCCGAAAATAACATGTCACCGAGGGTATGGTCCCCTTAACTTTATTTGCCTGCGCTTTGGCTCGGGTAGATGCAGTCTACCGCTAGCGTTCCGTCTATATCTATTTAGTTAAACTTTCGGGCATCCGGACCAATAAGTCAAGGTCCCATCAAACTATCTTATTTACCCGAGTCTAGGTTTGATATTAGGTAGGTTCACTTAATGACTTATATAAGTATTAGGCTGGACTACTCTATTCCCCTTAGTAAGTAATAGAAATCCCCGCATGGAATAATGTCCTTAACCCTAAACGAATAGCGTATTCTAGTTTACAATGACTTCTCGAGGTGGCTGATAACTTCTACCTTGGCTGCGCTCGCGCTCTTCTCGTCAAATACATAACCCAACCACTCCTTGGCTAATCTGCGCGCCAGCTCCAAGCCGATAACCCTCTCACCCATACAAAGGACTTGGGCATTGTTGCTTAGTACGGCTCGCTCTACAGAGAAGCTGTCGTGAGCTGTGACGGCGCGGACGCCCTTGATCTTGTTCGCTGAGATGGCAACTCCTAGGCCTGTACCGCAGATGAGCAGGGCCCTATCGACCTTGCCATCAGCTACGAGCTGCGCTGCGGCCGCTGCTCGGTGAGGGTAGGCTGTCTTGTCATCTGTTGAGAGACTTCCGACGTCTACGATAGATTCGACGCGGGGGTCTTTTTCGAAGTCCTCCCTAATCTTGCTCTTGTAGCCAACACCGGCATCCTGTGTAAGTAACGTTAGTATCGTGGTGAAATGTTACACATAAATGAGTGAGTATAAGTGAAGTATAAGTTGGGTAAATAAGAGAAATAAATAAGAGAAATAAAAGAGAAAATTAAGTAAAGAACTCACATCGGCTCCGATAGCTATCTTCCACTTAGGTGCGGTAGCCATTGTCGGAATTTCCTATCGTCTGGCGGGGGTGTAAGGAAAGTGTAAGTGATAGTCGGGACTTGGAGACTTGGAAACTTGGAACTCAGCAGGCGTTGTTTTACTCCTGTAACTTTGTGATACTCGGCAGGACTTAAGAAGTAAGGAAGAGAGAGTGTGACATCCGATTATTCGATACCGTTCCTTCTTATTACTCGGTACACTATAGACCCCCTACTGCCTTGCTGTAAGATGTCTTAGATAGTACCTCCCCTGGAAAGCTACATAAAACAAGCATATTCTTTCTATTTGTCCTAAACACTCCCTCCCAACCGTTGTCTCAAACAGACCTTTCTCCCCCAAACCGGTCAAAGTGACCTTTCCAAGTGACCCAAGTGGGGTCGCTGGAATATAGTACACCTGTGGTGTTAGTGGTATAAGTGTATAGGCAACTTCACGGGTTACCTAAAAGGGTAATCCGATGGCAAATATCTGAATTTACCCCTACGGTTCGTGGTTCGCGGTTCGCATTTCTTTCTCGGCATAGTCATTCGTAATACACCCTTTTTTCACCCCTCCTTCGGTAATCATGCGGACTACGAATTTTGTCAATACCGTCGATACCTCTTCCCCTTAGGTCCCCCTGGGTCCCTCTATTTCTCCCCTGTACTTGAGTTAGCCCCGTGGGGAGAGGGCCTGGACGCCTAAATGGAACCCAGATGAACTTGGATGGAACCGTCATTTACGAAATTAGGAGCCTTGCCGCCAAGTAATTTCGGAGAAGGTCGTTTAAGCTATAGGCGATGCGGTATATCATCGTCAGCAAACACAGAAGCTAACACTATGGCTCGATGGATCGATGGGTCAAAACCTTTGGTGTTGCCTCTTACGGCAACCCTTTGCGTTCCCCATGTGTTCCCATACGTTCCTATACGTTCCATAATCCTCAATCCCCATAATCCTGATCTTTCGCGTAATAGAACCAGGTTTGTTCGGAAACCCCTTTTCTGAGCTCGAGCCTCTGCGGCCTTTGTTCGACGTGATAGAAAGAGCTGCTCGCTCGCCGAGTTTTTACGGTTAGACATTATCCTGAAATCTTACTCCAGTCTCTCCTAATTCCCGTCTTATACCCGTCCATCAACGCCGTGGAAATGTCAAAACGTCACTTATATCAGTCCTCGGATGGGCTTGTCACCAAGTCTATCAGAGGTCTCATCTCATACAACCCGTTACTCAGCCTAGATGAGCCTAACCGAGTGGTATTCGACACGGCATACAATAAGTCTAATGTATCCATAGTCAGCGGTGGTGGTTCCGGTCACGAACCTGCCTGGTCCGGTTATGTTGGCCAAAACTTGCTCGCCGCTTCTGTGGCCGGCGACATATTTGCTTCTCCCAGTACGAAGCAGATTCTTTCCGCTATCGACAGAGTACCATCAGAAAAAGGGACTATCTTAGTTATTACCAATTATACCGGCGACTGCCTACACTTTGGGTTGGCAAACGAGAAAGCCATTGCCAAAGGCCACAAGTGTAGAATGATCATCTGCGGAGATGACGTGTCCGTCGGAAGGAAAGGCAGCTTGGTCGGCCGACGAGGTCTAGCCGGACAGTTAGGTGTTCTCAAAGTCCTAGGCGGTGCTGCTGGTGCCGGCGGCTCTCTCGATCAGGTATACGATCTAGGCGTTGCGTTCTCGCAGCAGATTGTTTCCATCGCAGCCACACTCGATCACTGCCACGTTCCTGGAAGAGCAGAGTTCGCGATGCTGGGAGATGACCAAGTGGAAATCGGTACTGGGCCTCACAATGAACCCGGTTATCGGAAGCTATCACCTGCGCCGTCAGCGGAGGAACTCGTTAAGGTGCTATTAAAGTACTGCTTAGATGAGACAGACTCCGAGCGGGGTTACGTAAAGTTCAAGCCAGGGGACGAGGTCATTCTTCTCATTAGCAACTTCGGAGGCATGTCGTATCTCGAGATGGGAGCATTACTAGACGATTTGCTTGAACAGTTGGCGAATGATTGGAACATTGTGCCGGTGAGGATAAGCAATGGCTTCCTCGAGACGTCCCTAAACGCTCCGGCATTCTCGATTTCCATTGTCAACGCGACGGCCGCCGCCGAGAACTGCTCATACTCAGTTGAGGAAATCAAATCCTTTTTCGACGCTAAGACAAATACATACTGGGAATCCATGACCGGTTCTCAAGCGATACGGCGTAGCAGAAAAGAGCAGTTCGTGCAGCCACCTCCCGAGCCTCACAAGGTGATTGAGGAGGGAAAGGACTTGAAAATTGATCCTTCTCTGCTGGATAGGATGCTTCGTAGCGCTTGCAACGAGTTAATAGTCGCAGAGCCCGATCTAACTAAGTGGGACACGATCATGGGCGATGGCGACTGCGGTGAGACGCTAAAGACGGGTGCAAGTCATCTCATCGCCGCGCTCGACAAGAAGCTCGCAGCCGAGGGGTCCGTGATCGCGGTGCTCCAGGAACTCGAAGAAATTGTTGAGGGCAAGATGGGGGGTACTCTAGGAGGTATCCTAGGTATCTTCTTCGTCTCGTTAAGAACGACTCTCCAAGAGAACGTTGCCCTAGCTAAGACCGAAGGGCTTTCAAAACTATGGGCTAAGGCCGTCCAGATAGCTTTAGATAATCTAGGTCGGTACACACCAGCTAAGGTCGGCGACAGGACGGTCATGGACACTCTTCTCCCATTCGCAGAAGGACTACGTTCGGGAGATCTCGCGGGTGGTGTCGAGGGTGCGATTAAAGGTGCTGAGCTGACCAGGACATTGGCTCCGAAACTCGGCAGAGCGACTTATGTCGGCGCGGATAGCAGCAAGGAGCTGCCCCCAGACCCTGGTGCTTGGGGTGCCATGGTTGCTATTAAGGGTTTACAGTCAGGTATATAAGAGTATACTAGCCGTGGTATACCTATACCTGAGTACCTATTTAAAGTGTATATGTTGTCGTTGGCATGTCATGTACCTACATAAGCTAACGGTTACCTTTTATTTTTTGGGTATTTTGATTATATTTGAGGTATAATAATTTTATAAATTTTTAAAAATATTAAAGCATGGAATGAGGTGTTATGATATTTGGTAGTCAGATTCCTATTCTGACCTTCTTGCTTACTGCGGATGATAAGACAAGACACTCGCCTAAGCATTTATAAGATATATCCAGATATATCCCTGTCTATAGAAACCCGATAGTTATAATATTTGTTTGTTTAATACCTCTTTAACTAAATTCTCTCCCTTACGCTTCTTCGTGTCTCGTTACGCCTTACCGGCGCTACCGAGCCAATGCATATACTGCTCGATAGCAGCCTGCATCCTGTCGGTACCCGCCTCTATAACGCTGGTGAGGGGCTTCCCCTGCATTTCCTCCTGCACGGCGGCGTAGTGTTTGTTCATGCCTTTATTAATGTTGACTTTGGACACGCCCGCCTTGATACATCGCTTAAAGATATCCTCGGTAAAAGGATCTGCGCCGTGTAGGACTAATCGCACACGGTCGCCTACTGCCTTATTGATCGATTCTAATCGCTCGTACTCTAGCTGAATCCCCCGTGGCCCGTATTCCCCGTGCACGTTTCCGAAAGCCGGCGCCAGCATCTCGATACCTGTAGCCACAAACTCTTCTGCCTGTTCAGGAGTTGTTAGAATGGCTTCTAGATCGGCTGTTTCCGCTACGCCGTCTTCTCCACCTTCGATCCGGCCGGGCTCGGCTTCGGTGGTAATCCCGCGTTCGTGGCAGTACACAGATAATTCCCTAGTCAGCTCTAGGTTCTCATCTTTCTCGTAATGGCTCATGTCACACATAATGCTATCGAAGCCATCTTCAATATCTGCGGCCCGACGTACCAGCTCCGGTGTCTGCGCGTGGTCTAAATGTAGGCTGACGGGCACTTTGGCGTTATGCGCAGCGTCGGCGGCAGCACGTACGAGAGATGCGCCGGCATATTCGATAGCCCAGGGGAAAAGAAGGACCATAGCTGGGGATTGGGCTGCTTCGGCGGCGCGGACGGTGGCGATTATTGATTCGATATTATAGCAGCACATGCCTGGCACGGCGTACCCGCCATCGCGGGCTTTGTTGAGGATTGTTAAGGAGCGGTTTTTGGAGAGTTCTGGGCGGACCATTTTGATTGTGATCTTGGTGGATGTGTAAGTGTAAGTGTAAGTGATTTGCTTTCTTTCAAGGTACTATTTAGTTTCTAGTAGGGACACAAACGCGGAGTTGAATTGGTTAGTATATGAACCATATAAGTGCCCATACTATAGTATACAATAGAGCGAACAAATAGGTTTGTATATTATTGTTATCTTATTAGTCTTAGTCTCTACCCAAGTAATCTATGGCCACACACGGAATTATACCGTCACGAGCCACCGCACACCGGCATCTCTCCATCTCCAAGAATGAAACAAAAGGCGTGCTGCCGTAATTAGTGGAGAAACAGACGTGGGGTCGCTTACCCTTTGACTTACTCTTAGTGGTGATAAAAAACCTGCAACTTACCAACTTTGCCATTTTACCGAGGGAGGCGGCCCAGAGGATAAGGACTATTCGCCGGTATAGTTATCAACCGAGCGATCTCGGTGTAACTATATGGTGTGTGTAGTTGAATGTATGTATACTCCATATATGTCTATCCTATTTCTACTAGGTTAGTGGGCTAATAGACGAGTGGATGAGGCAGGCGGAGAAAGGGGGCTAGGGTCAAATAATAATAGTAAAGGCTGAAGTGACGCTCCCCGCCTCCATACCCGCCTCCATCCCCGGTAAAGATGGGGGGAGAGGCACCTTATACACTTCAGCCGTTACTAGGTCCTATATGGATGGTACTTAGTCCGACTTGACTAGTCGTCTTCAGATTACCGGCTGGGTGGAAGACGGCAGGCTAAGCTTTTTGTTTTTTGTTGCTTTGTCTTTCATCTACGTATGTTACTTGTATACTCGTTCATTATACGGTGTCTACCACAAGAGGATAGATAATATTACAAGCGAATATTTTTTAAGTAGTGTTTGAGTTGTAGACATGGCGAACGCAAAACTAGAGATCTCATTCATCGGCCTGGGGGCCATGGGCTTTGGCATGGCGACCAACTTGGTCAAGCAGGGGTATAAGGTGACAGGGTTTGACGTCTGGCAGCCGACGTTAGATAGGTTCCAGGCTGCTGGAGGCAGTACCGCTACGACGCCGGCGGAGGCTGTTAAGGGCAAGGACTACTGCGTGTGCATGGTAGCGACGGCGCAGCAGGCTCAGGCCGTACTCATTGAAGGTGACGATGCGGCACTCGCCTCGTTTCCTAAAGGAGCCGCTCTGCTACTCTGTTCGACGGTGCCGTGCGCATACGTCCAGGCTCTAGAGAAGCAACTTGTCGAATTAGGACGGGGTGATATTCGTCTAATCGACGCTCCCGTCTCGGGAGGTGCTGCAAGGGCAGCTGACGGTACTCTTTCAATTATGGCTGGAGGCTCAGATGAGGCAATCGATACTGGCCGCTTTCTGTTACAGGAGATGTCCGACCCGAAGAAGCTCTACATCGTCCAGGGCGGAGTCGGCGCCGGAAGTAATATGAAGATGTGCCACCAGGTCCTTGCGGCTAATCAAATCCTTGCCGCAAGTGAAGGATTGGGGTTTGCGAGTCACCTCGGTCTGGATCTCCACTCCACGAGCCAGGAGATAATCAAGTCGGATGCCTGGGCGTGGATGTTTGAGAACAGACTGCCGAGGATGCTCGATCCCGAGTTCAAGCCCGTTGCTAGCGCTCTGACCATCATCCTGAAGGATACGGGTATTATTACTTCAGAGGCGAGACGGGCTGCATTTCCTACCCCTATGACAAGCACAGCAGAACAAGTCTATTTCTCTGGCCTTGGCCGCGGATACGGCCCAGACGATGACAGCAGTATAATCAGACTATACACAGAAGGCAAGGGGAAGATTGGACTGGTAAAGGGGCTAGCCGAAAACGACGAGTCGAAGTTAGCCCTCGTCAAGGCGCTATTCAGAGGAATTTATCTTTGCTCTGCAGCGGAGACCATTGCCTTCGCAAAGAGATGTAATCTAGATCTAGACCAAGTCTTCGAGCTCTGCATAAACGCAGCCGGAGGAAGCGCGATATTACAGACGGTTGGACCGGACATCATCAAGCTTTCTCGAGGAGAACAGGTATCGGTTGGGGATAGCCAAGGACTAAAGGAGCATGCGCAGCAGCTTCAAGAGGCTGTTGAGGAGGCACAGCGGCTAAAGGTACCGGTGTATCTTGGTAGTCAGGCGCTTACCCTGACGCGGTTCGCATTGCACTTTTCCTCTGAAGCAGCTTCAGATGTCTCAAGAGCTACTGTTGCGAGAGTATGGGGTTTATAAGATCGATGTTTGTACTTGGGTAGTATATGCCGGGAGACGCAATGTGGGCTGCGAGTAGTTATATAGGAATGTATATAAAATACACTTCATAAGGACCCTAAAAATAATATAATATGAAAGGGTGGAGTACATAGACTTACACTCGGGTAAAATTATATGGGTTTATTAGATTATTCCATGTCTGCTGACATTGGATCGAACCCAGACGATGAAGATATCTCGGGAATCATGTAATATGAATTTAACTATGGCCAAATATAGACCTGTGGTATTAGTTTCCTGCCAATCCTAATGAATCTGTGCCAATAAGAACGCCATGTACCTGATTCATTTTTTTCAATTCCCTTTTCGTAAAGCCCCCTTATTCATCAATTTCCTTCAGTAACCACTCTGTTCCTGCCTATGATCCTCTTTCGCAGCCTCGCCCGCCTCCTTGATGGCCTCCTCGTCGCCTCTAAGCTTAGCAAAATACTCCTTGATATCTTCGGCACCAATTGCTTTGCCACTCTCGGCGAACTGCTGGAAGAAGGGCTTGAGACGCTCCTTCAAATGGTTGTATGCCATGACGCCTTCGATCGCCCGGACGCGATCCACGTTTTTAAGAGCAGACTCGCCGCGGTCGTATAGTGAGCCGCTGCCGTGAGTCGAACCTTGCTCAGATGCTCCGTCCGAAAGAGGCGGCTCGTAGGCTTCTTCCTCTTCTAGAAGTTGCGGGTGAACTTTGAGATCTGGGAAGCACGAGGCGCATTTGCAAAACTGATCGCGGAAATTCGAAGTAGTAAATAACGAAAACTGGCCACTTGGTGCAGAAGGCAGAGATGCTAACTTGCATTCTGTAGCAGGTGGAACTTCGTTTTCCTTCTGATCCTCGTCTTTCTTCTCATCCTCATCCTTGACTTGTGAGGAATTCTCATCTGATTTGACTACGGATATGATATCCTGCGCCTCTTCAGACTCATTCTTAACGCGCTTGCTACAGTTGTTATCCTCTTCTAAACCATCACTATCTTCTAGCTTACGTTTCTTAGAGGATGTCTCGCTATCCTTTTGAAGAAACACTGCTGGTAAGAATCCGGGGGTTCCAGCATATCTCTTAATCCAAGGATAAGCTTCAACGCATTTATAGCATATGATATTGTCGAACGCATCTTCGGTAGGGAAGCCGTCCGGCAGAGCGGGGTCTTCATCCTCCTCCTCTTGCGCTTCCTGGTTGTCATTGGCTTGCTGTTCCGTGCCATTCTCTTGAGTCGCATCTTCGGAAATAGTAGGGAGTGTGTTATTACCATTACTATTGGCGCCATTGGCGTTGAATTTGAGAACGTGTGCTTTCTGCTTCTCGTACCAATTGGGTCCAAGGCCAACGAGACAGCCAGGATGATACCAATCTTCGCCGCAACCACCAGTCTCATGCGTACCGAGACCTAGGCACTGATACATGGAACCCACCTGTTTGTTAGGGTCGTAATATACAGAACAAGAGCAAAAGCGATTACGGAAGTTGTGATTGTATTTATTGTTGGGATCCGGCTGTTCGGAATGAACACCTCCTTTTGTGTTGGTCTCGGGATTGATTCGAAGGGTGCATTGCTGTTCGGGTGCGAATCGCGTGGTACCACAGTCGCAAGTGAAATTGCGCTTCTGGAAGATCTCAACTAATTCATGTTCACCATGACATTGGACAGAACATGAATAACACACGCCGGCAGGATTATAGGGATCGGATGGATTCGCAGGAGGTGGAGTGCAAGTTAGACAGGCGAATACATCCTGTCGTAATGGTCCAAGTGGCTTGGTGCAGTTTTCGATGCTCTAGAAATCACAGTTAATTCATTAGTAAATTGTTGAATGGTTCGTCTAGTTAATACCAGTCAACTTACATAGGGAAGAGCTTCGCGAGCATCGGCTTCCAGCTGCAGTTGATCTCTAATAAAGTCGGCGGCAGTTTGAGAATCGTCAGACTGTTGCGATATGCTCTGGGTGCGCGGGCGCGAAGAGCTACCATTGGTTTCGGGTGCCTCCTGGGAGGTAGTCGGAGTTGATGATAAATCCATTAGAAAATGATAAAAAAATAAAATGACAAGAATGATTTGCGAAAATGTAGAAATGAAGAGAAGAAGAGCTTAAATAATAAAACGGTGTTTGTAAAGTTATTGTTCACAATAATAAATAGTTGTCTCAGCTGTGAAGTAAGGCGCTTTAGTTTATGATAAGAGCGCGTCGCAAATATGATGTCACAGTGAGTGCTTCTCTAAAGCGATACTAATTCGCACTATACAATCAAGTATACCTTATGTGGAACTGCACGGTGTGCATGCCTACAGGGAATAAAGAACTCTTAGTCCTAAGTACCTAGGTATGTACTATGTATCCTTATGGTGTGCGTTTAAAATCTAAAGGGTGTGTAATTAGTACCACTTTACGCGAGCTCAACGCGTATGAACGCGACTTCCAATTTGTTTCGTCGCGCCCACCCCACAATCCACTTTAGTCCCCTTTCTCTTCATTTTCCTTCTTTGGTTCCACTCTCACTTTCACTGTCCCTCTTGTTTGAATCCTGGTTTCTCTCCATATTAACAACTATTTACTCAAAGTGCTCTCCGATAGAGAGTAAAATAGATACATAATGAGGTGAGTTCATTCTATATTAACTAGCAAATAAAACTTATAGCAGTAAAATTTCCTAACTTATTTCTAGTTCTCCTCTACGAATGAATATGGACTCCGCAAACCGCGGTATCGCCCCTCGTGCGAACCGCAAACGTTCCCGCACGGGCGGTGATGCTTCCTCTTCCGTTGCTGCTTCTAGTCCTATGCCCTCTTCTCCACCAGCCTTCAACATTGCCCATGGTGGTGACGACGATGACGATATTGAGGAGGAGGCTGAGGTCCAAGATGATTTAGACGACCTTGACGAGATGGCCGAAGACGATGTAGACCTCTTCCGTGAAGGTTTTGAACGAGATTACAGAGAGAAAGATGACAACGATGTCTATGAAGGAATCGATATTGATGATGAAGGCGAATTTGACGAGATAAACCTCGGCGAGAGGAGAAGATTAGAAGCTCAGCTAAACCGCCGAGATCGAGAAGTAGCTCGTAGACGGAAAATGCCTCAAGCTTTTCTGCAGGACGAGGATGAGGATGGAGATATTGATCTAACTGCCCAACCCCGTCGTCGCCGTCATCATTACGACGAAGACCCAGACGATGAAATGGATCAAGATATCATGGACGAAGAACTCTCCCTTGAGGCCCTGCAAGATGTCAAAGCCGCCAGTTTGACCGAATGGGTGTCTCAGCCGTCAGTGCAACGCACCATCAAGCGAGAATTCAAGGCCTTCTTAACAGAATATACCGACGAGAGCGGTTCCTCAGTCTATGGCAATCGTATTCGAACCCTTGGCGAAATCAACGCCGAGTCGCTCGAGGTGTCATACGACCATCTATCCTCATCCAAGGCTATCCTTGCATACTTTCTTGCCAACGCTCCTACCGAAATGCTTAAGCTCTTCGACGACGTAGCCATGGAAGTCGTTCTACTCCATTACCCCGACTATCAGCGCATCCACTCTGATATTCACGTTCGCATCTTTGACCTGCCCGTTCACTATACTCTTCGCCAGTTGAGGCAGTCGCATCTCAACTGCCTCGTGAGAGTGAGCGGTGTTGTTACTCGACGAACTGGTGTTTTCCCTCAGCTGAAATATGTCAAAGTCGACTGTACTAAATGCGGCGTGACACTAGGCCCCTTCCAGCAGGAGTCTAACGTTGAAGTCAAAATTTCATTCTGTCAGAACTGCCAGTCTCGTGGCCCCTTCACCTTGAATTCGGAAAAGACTGTTTACCGTAACTACCAGAAGTTGACACTCCAAGAATCGCCTGGAACTGTACCTGCTGGCCGTCTACCCAGACATAGAGAGGTTATCCTGCTCTGGGATCTGATTGACAAGGCGAAGCCCGGGGAGGAGATTGAGGTCACCGGCGTTTACAGGAACAACTATGATGCCCAATTAAATAATCGTAATGGGTTCCCTGTTTTTGCTACGATTCTCGAGGCAAACAATGTTGTCAAAGCGCACGATCAGCTTGCTGGGTTCAGGCTTACCGAAGAGGACGAGCACGAAATCCGCAAACTTTCTCGGGATCCCCAGGTCATCGATAAGATAATCAACTCGATAGCACCTAGCATCTACGGGCACACCGATATCAAGACTGCTATTGCCTTGTCTCTTTTCGGCGGCGTCGCAAAGATAGCCAGGGGTGAGCATCATGTGCGAGGAGATATCAATGTTCTATTGCTTGGTGATCCGGGTACAGCCAAGTCTCAGGTCCTGAAGTACGTAGAAAAAACCGCGCACCGAGCTGTTTTTGCCACTGGTCAGGGAGCTTCCGCTGTTGGTCTTACGGCTAGTGTCCGTCGAGACCCTTTAACCAGTGAATGGACATTAGAAGGTGGTGCTTTGGTGCTTGCTGACAAGGGCACGTGTCTCATTGACGAGTTCGACAAGATGAATGATCAAGATCGAACATCTATCCACGAGGCTATGGAACAGCAAACCATCTCCATTTCGAAGGCGGGTATCGTTACCACCCTACAAGCTCGATGTGGTATCATTGCAGCAGCTAACCCGATCGGTGGCCGTTATAACTCTACGATCCCTTTCTCATCCAATGTTGAACTGACTGAACCTATCTTGTCGCGTTTTGACATTCTTTGCGTTGTACGAGATACTGTGGACCCTGCTGAAGACGAGCGTCTGGCTCGATTCATTGTTGGCTCCCACAGCCGGAGCCATCCGTCTACCCAAGCTGCTGATGGTTCCATGGAGGTTGAGCACGACTCCGAGGCGGCGCAAGAGAGCCAAGCGCAACCAAAGAAAGAAAGCGAAATCCCCCAGGAGCTACTACGAAAATATATTCTATATGCACGAGAGCACTGCCAACCGAAGCTTCTACATATGGACGAGGACAAGGTTGCGCGACTCTTTGCGGATATGCGACGAGAGTCGCTAGCTACCGGAGCATATCCAATTACTGTAAGTTACTCCAATTGATGTATGTACCTAAGATAACAGCACTAACTTAACTTTCAGGTCCGTCATTTAGAAGCTATCATCCGAATCTCGGAGTCTTTTTGCCGAATGAGATTATCAGAGTATTGTTCTGCCCAGGACATTGACCGTGCCATTGCTGTTACTGTTGACAGTTTCATTGGTAGCCAAAAGGTCAGCTGCAAGAAGGCTCTCGCGCGCGCCTTTGCCAAATACACGTTAGCGAGGCCAGGTACAAATGGCGCACGGAGAGGCGCGCAGACCCAGCGTAGGACTACTGTAGCGGCTTAGACTAAGGGAGTTTTTTATCGTATACGAGGTTACTTAACGTTGGAAGATTATGAGTTTACGTGGCGTTAAGAGCACGGTATTAAGATTAGGCGTTAAGCTTGGTTGATGATGTTGATACGGATGTGGTAATACGGCTTCTAGGGTTTAAAGTGTTGTCTTTACTCCGATACGGATTGCCAATTAGCAGTCAATTAGAGTCGTTGCATACCTCTACATAAGCCACGTCTTGGTATAGAGAGGTAGTTTGGAGTTGGGAAACTAAGAACCGGGAATTGCGATGTTTTGTTGGTATAAGATGAACTTTTATGAAGTAGTCTTTCAGTCCGCTTCAACTTATACCAACCTAATATATCAAACCAAGTTTTTTACAATATTCGGAACTCTGTCCAAGTAACCACGCAGTAATTCCTATTATTGTATAATCATAATAGTTTTTGAGATATTGATGCTTGAACAGATAACCTTTCAACTCATATATTTCACAATTCCCTCTATTCTTATGTATCTCGGACTGAACCTTCGTTTACGCTCACATTGTTTCTTAAACACTATATCTCAACCAATCGTAACTTAGATAGTAGCTCAGATAAGTATCTAAGCTTAATGTTTAAGTTTTTCCTTAGACATTAACTAATGTTGGTATGAGCTACCAAAGATACCTAAGAGTTCCGTACCTGCTTCTAAGCTTTTTATAGCACAACTTTAACAAGGAGACGTCAGTGATAACAGCACGTCAAACCGCGCTTGACATGTTTATACTCTTATTATCTAGAGTTTCTATATCCCGGACTCCGTTCTCGGATATGTGTCTTTGACAATTCCTATCTTGGCTTTTGAGCTCAGGCACGGTGATAGGTTTTGTAAATCTATATAAACCTGCCTACCCTCTGCCTGTTTCTCCCTGGATTTTTGGAATGAGAGTAATCCTCATTTCATACGCACGCGACTTTATAAGTTCTACTTTAGTAGCATAGCTACTAGCATCTAGATCGTCGTATAATCATCCTCTAACGAAAGCTCAGATTTTACTATACAAAATCAGGTCTAACGATATTCTTACTCAATCATACCTACCTACCTAACACGGTTTACCTTATTCTTTATTTTTCACCATGGATCTCACCAGCTCGGCCGACACGTCCCTTAAGAAGGTCATCACGACCCGTCAGTTCGTCTTGATGGCCCTCAGCAGCTCTATCGGTGCCGGTGTACTTCTCGCTACCTACTCCAGTCTGGCAGTAGGAGGCTCCGGGTCACTCCTCATATCTTTTATTGTAGTCGGATTTGCCGTGTGGATTACCATGTGCGCTCTGGGTGAACTTTCGGCTGCATTCCCAGTCAGTGGCTCATTCTATGAATATTCGGTACGCTTCATCTCGCCGGCCTGGGGCTTCGCCATGGGATGGAACTACGTCATAAATTTTATCTTTATCGTCGTCTTCGAGCTGGTTGTCATGCTACTCTGCACGCGATATTGGGAACCGAACTTGCCAGCATACTACGTCCTCCCGGGGTTTATATGCGGCCTTGTCCTCGTGAATGCGTTTGGAGCAAAATGGTATGCCGAGGCAGAGAACGTTTTTGCGGTCTGCAAGATGATCGTTCTTACGGCTTTTACCATTGTCGCCGCCCTTATCGTCACCAAAAATATTCCGGCTGATACCCGACCCGCCGAGGAGCTCGGGGTTAACTTGTGGGTGCAAAATGCATTCAGACATGGCCCTATCGGATTTCTCTATGTCTTTATGACTGCCGGGATGGCATATGGAGGAACCGAGATGCTTGGTCTCACCGCCGCCGAGTGCGAAAGGCCTCAGAAAGTTATGCCTCTCGCTTGCAATATTGTGCCACTACGAATTATTTGGCTATACCTAATTCCCATCTTGATGCTCGGCATGGTACTTGAGGTATCCCTTGACGGCGAAGTTCAATCTGGTGGAATCAGTCCCTTGGTTGCTGCAATGGATCAAGCCAATCTCCCAATAGTTGGTAGCATCTTCAACGGCATCATCATCATCGCCATATTTTCGATGGCGAGCGCCAGCGTTTTTGCCTCGTCGCGAGCTCTTCAAGCCATGTCGGCAAGAGGAATGGGGCCACGCCTCTTCGCCAAGATAAAACGAGGTTACCCAATCTGGGCACTGGCATTGGTATTCTCAATTTCGCTCTTATCGTTCATCAAAATATCCAAAGACGGTGATATAGTGTTCAACTGGCTCTTGGCTCTGGCTTCTGGCTCAAACTACTTTACCTGGATTTCCATCTGCGTATGCCACATCCGACTCCGGCTTGCCATACGTAAGAAGGGCTTGGAGAATCGAGATGTATTGAAGTGGCAGTCCCCACCTGGAATCGGCGGAAGCATAATAGCAATTGTAATATTTGTTTTTGGACTCGCAGCTCAGATTATCGCGGCAGTGAAGAGTCCGCTCCCTAACCCCCCTCATGTTCTCTCAAGCTTTCTAGGAATTATTGTTGTTTTCGTATTCTGGGCAGGATATATGGTACTCGGAAACAGTGTGCTTTTGACTCCCCTCGATCAAATCGACCTTCAGCCTAAGGCGACGGAGCCGGTTGAAAATGGCGAAAGCGTCTAAATCACCAGAAAAGTAATATCGCACACTTACCTCTTATAATGTAACTATTCTAATATAGATAGAAGAATGTAGTAATTATTGTTTATATGTATGTGTTTACTATAATGCTTTGTCTCTTATGAAAACATGAAGAAAAAAAAGAAGATAAATGTTATAAAATATGAGGTTGTAGATATTAATCATGTACCCGTGTAATTGAAGTACATGTCGCTAATTAGATTGAAAACCTTGGGTACATGTGGTTACGCGTAGGTAACAGACACAGGTAGCATGAGTAACACAGCGCTAAACCAGATGGTAACCTAAAGTAATCGATAAGAAGCAACGCTTAACCATATCTAGACTCATTTAGTGGGTAAACGACGATGGCGGCAGGGCAGTTACGACTTACTGCATTTACATAGCGGATACACACCCACCTATACACACACACACACACATTAAACCCACTATCCACTATCCACTAACTTAAGGTATTGCTAGCTTAATCTTTAGGTTGCGTAGAAGCTCCGCCTTTATCTCATTCCCTTTCCAATCATGAACTTCCCTCCTCAACCTTCACATCCTCTCGAAAACTCCCAACAACAGAACCCCGGCTCCCAAAACCGACAGTTACCGCAACAGCAACCTGTTTACTTAAACAACGGCCCCGGTACCATGCAGGGTAACGGCTCTGGCGCCGGTCCTGGCGTAATGTCGATTGGACCCACGCCCGCTGGCCATCAGGCAGAACTTAATATTATATATGGCATGGTCGAGGAGCTGTCGCGTCAGCTGGCTGAGAACAGACGAGTGACCGAAGATATTGTCTCTGGACTTGGCCGGGTACGAAATCGGGCGCGGGATCGTGGTTTAACAAACGACCAGGTGCTTGGAGAAGCAGCAGATGAAATATTTGGTACGTTCTATTATTCTCGGTATCTATGTCTTTAGTTGCCCAATCGTTAATCATTAGTACAGCGCAAGAACCGAATTTAGAGGCTCTTGTGTCTATCTTAACAGAGTCCCTCGACCGCGCTAAACTTTCCCGTGATGCCAACTTTTCTCTTCTTACTAGCTACGCCCGAGTTCTCGCAAATATACTCTCCCAATTCCACGCCTACAAGCAAAAACACGTCGCCGATGTTTCTGCCTGGCACCGTTCCTACCGAGCACAGTTGGCCGAAGCCCGCGCCGAGAATTCGCGCCTACGTGAGCAGATGTGGGAGATGCAGGAGCATGCCGGCCGCGCTAACCAGATGCTGCGCGAGTTCCGCAAGAAATACGACGAGAACGAGGAGCGGTGGGAGAAGCGTGTCGACGACAAGGCTAGAAGACAAGAGATCCGTTTCTGGAAACGTATGGCCATGCCCGAGGTTGCCGAGTCCGAAGAGGGATACTGGAGCGACGACGACGACTTAGTAGACCCCGTCGAGAAAGAAAGATTAAAGGAGGTAGAGCGCAAAGTCGCTGAACAGGCCCTTGCTGGCGTTGGTAGCACCAGCAGCCAGGGGGAGGATTCAGAAGGAGAAGGAGGCGAGCCGCGAGCCCTATCAGCAAGCATGATTGGCGGCGTGGCCATGGATAGAGAAGGGAGTGATATTGCTAGAATCATACCAGTACCGCCTCCGAGACCAGCTAGTACGGGAAGTACGGGGGGTATAGGACAACCGCCCAGCTAGGAGGTTGAGCCAACTTTGCCTAACACTTAATATGCATTAATATGGCGTTGAGGCTGATTCGATTGAAGAATAATACCCCAAATGAGAACGATGAGAGCGATTCGAGCTAGCCAGATTACTTATACTACCTATCCTGAAGACTAAAGTCAATACGAAGTCTTGCTAGTCACTAAGCTACCTACTTCTTTATCTTCATGTTGTGTACCTGTATGCTAGATGATATCGAGGTATATTTAAGCGTTGGCCGTCCCGAGAGAAAAAGCCCCTTAATGCAAACCATGTTCCCTAAAAAGTTATCCAGGCGATCAAATATGAAGTAGTATCACATTGATTGACGCAGTGGCTCGTTACTCATAACAATATATGCGTATAAAGCCGATACGATAAGGACGTGTTGAAGATATCTTAAAATTAAGGGTGATATGGTTAATCGCTATGATATGGCATTGCGGTTATCGCGAGCCAAGTCGTTGCCTGGCATGTGGCACCGCCAACCTGCCAGTCACCAACTGATCAATCTCTTAGGCAACGAGATACAGCTGCCAAAGTACCTATCTACGAAATAAAGGATATATATCCTAATTGAAAACTACCTTTCAACCGACGCCCCTCGCTTGGGCGACTTGAGGTTAGAGAAAACCCCACTGTGGTGTCTTATGCTGGACCGTTCTTACGAATGTGACTTGACAGCAGATGCCAAACGAAGCCGGTTTTTCGTAGGTCTTGGGTTCGAATCTCCTGCCCCTATCCGAGGGGGTTCGAACCTGGGGCTGAGCTTTTTTATTTTTGCAGTTACTTTTTACGTACACTTTTAAAGCCTTTTTTTCTTCCCTTTTTTCCCCTTTCCTTTCCTCTTCGCACATCTTGATTATATGCGGCTCATATGTGCGCATAATACAGTTAATCTAGCTAACATGTCAATTGCCTACCTAGAGGCAGATAGCTACCTACCTACCTATTATTTTCCATTTTTTACATATCAACATAAAAACGGACTACTTATGGGGGACGTTATAAAATATAGTATTATTGCCCATTATTAAGATTCCTTATATAGTAGCTGAGATGTCGAAGTATATTATCAAGCAACAAGGCAACTTTCTAAACTGAGGTTAAGTTATATTAACTATAACTACCTGTTACGCAGATTGGTAGTATAACTTCTCCAAGCCAATAACTACATAGTGACTGACTAATTTATTCAATGCTGTGTTGAAAACCCGAGAATCTGAAGTTCATAGATATTAATAATATAGCCCCTGTAACAAACCCTTGTACTCGCTTCTATTAATAACTACCCCCGTAGGGCTGCATGGATATGAGACAATGGGGAGAACTAGTCCTAATTTGATTTTACCTTTATAAGCGAAAGTGAAGAGTCTTAATAAAATGTTATCACTACTTACAACTGATCGTCGCCAAGAATACTGCTACAACGATAGCAAGGATTACAACGTATATAGACGGCGTTTCGTTGAAGATTAGTTTGCATAGCCGTATACTAAAACCATACAGGCTAGATAAATACAGATGCTATAGTTTGAGGTCGTGCTCTTGTCTGAATCCTTCTAAGGCTGCTAACTTTATAAAATCCATCTCATGCCATTCCGTTTTCTTTTATTTACGTTGGTTTTAGTAAACAGCGAGTAGATTTTATCGTGAGCTTCGCGTCTAGATTTTCCACCTCAATTCTCGGAATTAACCGTACTTCTCTCACTCTACACATTAAAGCTATCACAGCATTTTTATGCATAACTATAGTTAACGGATCTATAAGTTAGTTTGAAAATGGCCACCAACTCGGGCACATTCCCTCAGGACCTCCCCTCTCGCCCTGTGCCGACAACATGGAAGAGTCGCTACTGCTGGAGTTTCAGTTGGCATGCGTATAGTCTGCATACATCTGACATGAGAGTGCTGGCGCGTCGCATTTCCATGATCACGACACTTGGCATCCGGACTGCTCTATCTATCCTAAGCATCGTTTTCGATGCATACAATAACTTTATCAGTGGCATGGTTATTGGTATCATTTTTTCCATTCTTGGGTTCCTATTCGTCTCATGGTGTCTTGCGTGTATCGGTGAGGCTGAAGGCACCAGGCGAGTGTGCGGAATGAATATGGTGAGTTACTGTTGCGTTACTTATAGCCTTGTTGGTCGCATACTAATTATTGCATATAGGGCCGGTTACACTTTGATATTTTCCTCTTTGCCTCCTCTTTGATACATATCGGTAGCATCATTGGCTTTTTTACTGGCATGGGAGATCTGGGCTACATTATCTTTTGGTATGGGATGTGGATTCTAATTACCGTCGTTGCTTGGATTGCCACTCGGGCTCCTGAACAGCCCAGCAGCCATGTTCAAGTTTAAGGCCCTATATGTATGGAGTGTAGTAGGTAGAAAATAGAGGAGCGAAAGATTCGGAATTATCAGCCAATGAAAAGGAGTCGCTGTTGGTAGGATGTCATCTTGGTCAGTCTAGTATAAGTAAATTAAGCAGCTATGTTATGATCCTTAAACCGGCATAACAATCCAACTCGCTCATACCACTATAAGCCTCTAAGATGCCATAGTACACAAGCGAGAGGCACGTGTTAAATGTGTTGATAATTCCCCGCAATGGCTGTACCTCCGGGAGGTTGGGTCTGCAACTGCTGGGCTGCGCGCCTTTCCGACCCCAACCCCGTTCTTCCTCACAGCATTTACCCTGGAGCATGTCACTTAGTGATGTACTCACTCTCAGCCGCAACCTGCTCCAGCATTGGGAACTCCTGAACGGCTGCGCTAGCTCTAACATTCATCTCAATCCGTTGGTCTTTCGCTTCATAACCGACGCTATCAGTCGCATTCTAACTCTATACGAATTGGCTATCGAGGGTTTGTCGGAAAGAGATGCGCCAGAGTCGAATGTTTGGGAGAGTTCCGGTGCGGGACCCAATTTGAAATTTGAGCATGTCCGGAAATGACATGTCGCCGATCCAGAATACGGCACCGACATTTATTTATAGCCTGAAGTTGGAAGACGAGAAAGAGTTTGCTATCCTCGGTCGAGAAGCTTTGATATATTCTCTCATGCGTCTTGGGACTGTAGATAAAGAAATAAGAGAACTCATTGAGAGATTGTTCGTCTATTACGAAGAATCAATTAGGTCGGAGGGATACAGTAAGTGCCTCCTAGGTATATCTACTTCTGACGAAAACATAGATCTAAGCATCATCTGAGGATCGAAAACTTTAATATGGTACTCTTATGTCTCGGCGTATTTACATGTCCTCTATATCATCTATTCACATCATGATACAGTAAACATGGTTACTGGAAGCGTGGAACTACGTGTCTATCTAGATACAGACCATTGACTCAAAGTTCCCTTCTCATAACATCTTTTGGGCACCACACTTAAAAGTCTTACACCATCAACGCTATTCCCCCTTGTAGCGATTCCATCCTCCTCAACAAGCCGCGCTCTGCTTCGAGTGCGAGGTCTATTGGCGGCGGACGTGATGCAGCGCGGAGTTCTACCATGATCAACTGTGGATGTAAACTCGTTAGGTTGGGAATGATGAGACGTCTCGATCTCGTTACCTATCAAACTATCGTGATGGTCAATGCGAAGAGTACCTGTGAAGCTGGGATTCCAACTCCAGAGGTGATCTTGCGATGCGGTAGCAGCATAAGACTCCAAGCCTATGCTAGCGAAGTTCGCCGTTAGGGGAGGATCGTTCCCGTCCCTACATCCCCCTTAACGATCACTTTCAGGGCTATTGCTCAGTGTCGGGTCTATTGTCTTAGGACTTGGCGGACTCTTATCTGTAGAATTCATTGAAGCGACAAGATCCGTTATCGTCGTTCTTAGTTACTATTAGATATTTCATTCCAAGGTGATTTTGGACTGCTTAGAGCCGTTATGGTTTCCGTTTTGATTTGTAAGTCTGCTAGAAGCTGGCGCTTACTGTTAAATGATCATATAATTGGATTGAGGAGCCATAAAGGGGTCAGGGGTTACACATTAGGGCAATCCAGAAAAAGGAAATACCGCACCGCAATTGTATCTTTCTACAAATTGTGACATTGTAGAAGATATATATGCGTGTAGCCCTTTTTAATAAAATCAAATATTAGAAACATTGTTGTTATTTAGGTAGTTATGCCATTATAAAAGACATGATTTCTTTTTAAAAAATTATCATAGGCGGAGCGGAGCCTGCTATTGTGCTTTACAACACGCAAATAAGACTACCTCAACCTCAATATAGATCTTTATTCGATAACAAATGTAGTACAAGAGATGTCGATACTGATGGATGAATGCAAAATTATCTATTTATTCTTATCATATCATTATAGCTGTAGTTTCCTTTTTATTACATTATTTCCTTTGATATATATGATATATGACTTGTATTGTTATCCTGCGATATTTAGATAAGCTGCCCCAAGTAATTATTAGAAAAAAATAGAAATTATGTATTCTTAAGTAGACTGAAAGAGGCACTTAAGCGAGCTCTAGTCTTTATATGTCTAGATTAAAAACAGGATTACCCATAGTAGGAACGAGATAAGTTTATAAATTAGGTACGCAGGTGTACGTATTCTAGTTCAGCCTCCCCTTTAAAGAATATAATGAATTTCTCTAACGTACTTCATGTGTGGCTATACACTATAGCTATGGAATATGCTGCAAGACGAATTTGTTGCCCTCTAATAAGGCATCCATCACCTACGCCGCGCCGATCAATTGGCAGGGTACAGTCTCTTGTAATAAGATTCAATTCTTAACCAGTTGTGGTACCGGAGGCTAAGAAGACAATAAGTGTGAGGCGCTGGCAGAAGCAAAGTTAATAAGGATAACATATATTAATTATAAATGAGTGTAATTTATTCCACCAATTGACGGCCTAAAATTCGGCATTTGCCCACGGCTGTGGTATACGGGATGTGTGGTTAACTTGCACTTGACGATATTAGAATATGTAGCTGAGTATATTAATTGTAGGTTTGTCAAACAGGATAATCTGGTAAATTGGTAGGTTGGCAAGTTTTAAATATATTATTTCGTCATTTCGTGCAATTAACGACGATGTACGAGAGTACCTGGGGTAGTTTATAGCCTTTACATATATTATTATTGTTATTTTATTATATAGAACTACGTTCGTATGTATAAAAGATTAGTTAGACATTTTTAAGATCTTGAGTGATAAGAGATTCGTAGATCGCGAGATGATCCATCCATTACTTAACAAAACGGGGGCTAGACCCGCGAGCTTGGGACTGACCGTTAGCATGGACGTTAAGGGTATATCTCCAAGCATAATCGTGGTAAGAGATTGCCGATCGCTCCGCATTTAATCCGCATTGAACTCGATCAGCAAGTTGAGACGAAAAGGCAGTGCAAACTGCTGAAGATCTTGTCTAGATCAAGTGCTTGCCAGAGTACAATTCAACATGGAACATCCCGAGCGACCCGGTAGTCCGAGTCAACTTTTCAGGGGGTGCGATCCCTCTTTCGTCTTGATCGGTTGCGGCCCGCAACCGCGATGGCCTTTTACTATGTATAGCCTATATATTCTCAGAACGAGTCATGTGTATTTCCTGTAAGGCGTAGTGAGTCTTGCTCGTAGGCACCCTGAGAAAGGACTTTCCTATACCTGCGAAAATAGATAAAAGTAGGAGCTCTTAAGGAGGAAGAGGGTATTGAAGACATGGGCCGAAATATGAACCATGTTTCACAGCACGGCGGGGACAGCAGCACGACATGGGCGATTCCTACGTAGCAAGCACGCCTCGCTCGATTGGGAATCTAAAAGATATCTGATGATTTGCTGAAAGGAATCATGAACTCTGACCGAGGTTCCCTCTGGCTGGCGAATGCGCCAACAGCCTGGGAGAGCATGCAGGTGAATGATTGCTCTATGTAGGTATTTAAGTCGAGGCCGATATAGGAAAACCGGCTCCGATCACTAAAAAGGGAGGTGAAACAACTTTCCCTGGCTTCTGATAGGTTTATTTAAGAAATAACTCCTTTTGGTAAAACCTATCGACCAGTCGGCGATTACTCACTTCTTCTTTTAAGGAATGCAGAGCTGATATATATGTGAAGATTTATACGTCAAAAAAGAAATCGGCTTTCTATCGGTATTGGCAGAAGAGCAAATGCTGTAAGACAGTCTAGACTTTTTACAAGTAGACTGTCGTGTCAGGTCGGGTGGTAATGAGGGACTTCACTCGTTAGTGCCCATTGGCTTAGGCCGGAGCCAAGTGAAAGGAAAAGAATATCACTGGACGGAGAGCTTAAGCGAAGATTCTAAGCACTTGCATACCGCCGGACCTGCGCCGTCCGGCATTTCAACTGATAAGATGGAATTTTGGTAGCAAACCTAGTTGTAACTAGGAAAAGATGTGCATTTTTCCCCCGTTGGGTCAACGGGGAATTTTCTCGAACTTGAAAAGATCGTCGGTTACTTCTTCGGAGTTGGGGATAGCGTGAAAGCAGTCAGCCTCTAACGTATTACTATTCACAACAGGAAATAACTTAAGTTGCGTTGTTCAACAGAAGCTATAATGCGGAGGACGCGGATTAGGAAAACAATAGGATCCGTCATCGTATGACCTAGCCTATTAAGCGCTTCGGCGTACGGTTATTATTCTCGAGACGGCGCGGTAAAAACATAATATATTTAACGTGGTTTGTGGGAACAGGAACAGGAGGTATTGCTGGGCGCGCGCTTAATACTATTTTCAAAACCCTTCCCGCGGCTATCGTCAGTAAACATTTGGTATAGTAACGGTAGTTTTCAATATTGTAACGGGTAAATATGGAAAGTAATACCGATTGTTACTTTAATATCTATGTTGAGTTGTTCATTCGTAAATACTACAGTAAGATAGTTTTGCGCTGGTTGTAACCTATATGTAAGTGAAGTAAATATTGAAAATTGAAGTCAGGCTTGATTGACTACTGCACTATGCAAGCCCGCGACTACGCACATGTATACGAACTACCTAAATCAAGCTTACATAGCTGCATAGAGGTAAGTACCAAGAAAGGAAAGAAGAAAGAATAATGCAAGGGGTCCCAGTTTATCTTTCGTTGTTTCACCATAAACCCCTGTCAACCATTGGATAGAATATCCAAATTTGTACAGTACTTATCTGATTGGTTGTTGCTGTACATAATAGCGTGCTGAGTGCACATGCCAACTCAGCGTATGCCGTACAGTACCTTGCATAACCAGGGGCCACGCTAAGCTAAACTAGCCTATTTTAGATGCACGGTGTCCCTCTCCCCTTTTTTTTTCTCCTTCATTTTCTTCAATCCTGGCCAAATCGATTACACCAACTTGGACTTGCCCCTCTCTTCCACATGCGGGAAACCTTTTTTAACGACCTGGCGATAAACTGTTGGAACCGCGTCGGCTGCCGGCCTTCGGTCTACGAGAATGCTTACAGAACTTTGCAGCCGAACTTATGTATAATGCATCTCACATCATACTTGCCAACTCATCGTGGTTGGTTGTACAAGCCTTAAGAAAAAGGGGTTTGCTGCTCAATGAGATGTCAAGAATATGATGGGCTACAATATGACAAGTTTTCTCTTGATATTATCCATCATAATATTGCCACTATTAATGCTGACTGAGAGACTAGACCCCGTTGGGCTCCATCTTAAAAAGTTGAAAAGTGACGGGGCAAGCCCACGCCGCCCCGGAGCTTTTTAGGAGCACGACAGGACAGGACAGGACAGGCAAGACAGAGAGCTCGGCGCGTCGCGAGTGGTCAGTGCTAGGGACGAAATCCAAGATTTGGACTGGCCAGTTCTGGCTCAGAATTCAGGAACAGCGCGCCCAATGTCACTCTAGGGGAGTTCCTACCCACCATCTCAGGCCTATCTAGGTTGTAACCAGGGCATATCCCAAGTCGTATTTCCATTCAGTTAAAGCCAGTCCAGAACCTGGCAGAAGAAGAAGAAAAAAACCAAGCAACCCCCTACCAGTTTCACCCTATCCTCCTATAATTAATTTCCGCGCTAGTCACGTATCATGCTTCCCATTTCTCTGGTACCTATCATCTATCTATTCGCTTCGACTATCCGATATCATTGAACTATGCACCTAGAACTGCTAGGCCTTATGTTTTCTTCTACTATCCACTTTTTAGGCAGTGCCACCATCTGTTTAGATCCGCGTGGATCTATCGAGACCCCCCATTAATGCAGTGGAGCCCATAACTCCTTGACCGAGTGGTACTGCATACAACACAACCGGGTCTCTATTATGGGCTCTTAATATATATCTCCAAGGTGAACTGCTTCCGAGCTCTTCTACTAGTCTTTTTTCCCTCCGCGCCCAACCATTGTGCATTTACGCTCTCTTCTTCTGCCTTGCTAGCCGAGTTTATATAACACATTCTTTTTCACTTTCGTGTTGATAACTAGTTAGTTATCAACTTGTTTGCTTCGTCTTTCATTTTTAACTATATATCCGTCAAACTCCCTGCAAGTCAGGATTCTTTCTACTATTGCAGCCAGGATAGCTCTCCTTTTACCACATCTTAGCCCAAGTCGACTTTCTTAGAAGGTCTATAGAACTAGGGCATTTACTGTCATTATACAACTGATATCAAAACTCGGCACTTCCTGTCATTTCCGACTTTAGTCCTTCAAAATGCGCTTCCAGCAAAGCATCCTCGCTTCCCTCGTCCCCGGCCTTGTCGCCGCTATTGCCCCGCCGAACATCCAGGGCATGGACATCGTCTTCTCCGAGTCTTTCGAGGGGGAAGCAGGCGCCTCTCCCAACGGTGACACATGGAATATCATGGATGCCATCAACACCAACAACGAAGTCCAGACGTACACCACTTCGAACCAGAACGTCCAGATCAGCGGCGGCGGCACCGTTCAGTTCGTTCCCCGGAAATCGCCGTCTGGCCATTGGACCTCGGGACGTATCGAGACTAAGGGATCTTGGACTCCCAAAGCCGGCAAGGTCTTTAGCATACAGTCAAGCCTCTTGTTAGGAAATAACCCTAACAAGCAGGGTATCTGGCCTGCCTTCTGGGCTCTTGGCGATGCTATGCGCCACGGTACCCAATGGCCCGCTGCCGGAGAAATAGATATCATGGAACAGGTCAATGGACTTCTTACCGGCTATGGTACCGTCCACTGCGGGTCCGCCCTCGGCGGTCCTTGCAACGAGCCCATCGGCCGCGCCGGCACAACTCCTATGTCGCCCGACGGTTTCCACACCTGGGGCGTTACGATCGATCTCACAAATGACGACTGGCGAGCGCAGACCATTACATGGCACCTGGACGGCAAGAACTACAATACTCTCACCGGAGCTGATATCAACGATGCGCCCGTCTGGTCTTCTCTAGCCCACAGCCCCTTGTAAGCGCCCCTGCATCATTAACACTTGGTGAATAATTGCTAATTCTACGTCTTAGATACGTCCTCCTCAATGTTGCTGTCGGTGGTGACTGGCCTGGTCTACCCAACTTAGCTACGCAAGATGGCTACGGCAGCATGATGGAAGTTCAATGGGTTGCCGTCTACTCGTCTTAGACAGCATTCTCCGATCGCGTATAACGCGATTTGGTACCTCAAAATAGAAGTGGGTGTATATACGGGAAATTGGCGTTTGTCAGATATCGGGTTCGGGATTTTTGGATGAAGCGCTCGAGATACCTCTATGTGTTACGTGATTATTTTTTTTCTTCTTCTATATTGTCTCAGGAGGCAAGGCCTAGCCATTTTAGTCGCCACATCTACTTTTAGAAGTATAGTAGATGGTACATCTTGTTTCAATTAGACATGATGAAATGAATCTGCGAACTAGCTGGTTAATTTGCTAGACGCATTTACAATTCTGCCAACTTTTCAGTCATTAACAAACACCAACATGTGCTATCTTACGTTAGCTAGACTAGCCACTCAATAATCTAAGTCATGGCTTTACGCGTAACGTACGCGTAATAAACTTTAGTCTATATGGTTGGTCACACATAATTCGGTTTTACATATCATATTACGCTCGAAGTCACTGGAATCCTTGCGTAGGCACATATAAATATTCCTAGATAATGACTATGTCTGGGCCTATGTAGTTATGTGCGGCTCGAAGAAATATGGGTATGGACTTAGTTCTATTTAACTTGTACCTACGTCTGGCTTAGGGGCTGTTTGTCGTAGTATATTTTTTTTCTACATTGTGTAGCGGAACTAGGTGAATTACAGGTGTTAGATGAGGTATCTTAAAAATGGGGATAATAAGAATAGAGGTTGACTTACATAAGGATTCTCAAAGTCCGTATGGTCTTGTTCTCCAAGTTGCTTTCCCCTTTCTACTCTCTCCTCCTCAGTGATGCCCTGCTCGCCTAGCCATTTTTCGCGTCGCCGATTCCGCATGACTAACACGATTCGCCATGCTATCAGGACGATGAACTCTAGCCCAAAGCATACAGCACAGCCAGCGGTACCGGGGATATATCGTGGCTTTAGATGTCCTTGTTAGTAAGACCCTCAACGGTTCCGTATGGAAAGGGAAATACGCACAGCATCCTTTGCAAGGAAAATTTGTGATCCGACCATGTTACCCACGCAGTACCCGACAAAAGTGAATGATGATGTCAACGTGCGCTTTGTGCGTCCGGCAACGTTTGAAGGAATCAGTGTCCAAGCGAGAAACAGCGCTACCACGCTCGGAACAGTAATGAAGTAACTATTGTCGTCCAGCCCCTCGTTAGTATCTTTACTCTGGGTTTATGGTCTTATGAATAAATACTACTTACCCTGCCCACTTAATCCACTTGTAATGAGGTTCGTTAGGAAGCGTCGCCATCATAACGAAGCCCGCCACCGGAGGAATGACGGAGATAATCATGAAATACCTAAGACTTCGAATCAGCTACCCCTTGAAAACTCAAAAAGCATGTACTCTCTTTCCGAGGCGACTCACATGCGAAGGTTCTTCTTCCTGCTTGTGACAATACCAATAAAGATGAACCATATCACAGACGTGATATTCCGCGGTATATCGAGGAGAATCACCTGTAGGTTGGCTAACACACTGTAAGCTTTCACGATCATATAGTGGATTTCATAGATAACTAACTGAATCCGGCGTTGGTATTGATGATGGATCCGAAGGCGGTTATTCCACCGTTAGGAACTGAACTCAAGAACGCGTTGACTCCGGCTAACCAGAACTACAACAGACATTAATTATGTTAGTGAATATAAGTTTCATACCTGGATTCTCTCTGAGTTAGGTACTTACGCAGGGGTCGACTAGACATTCCCGCGCTTGATTCCACTTCCATCTCTTGATACCAGTCCGGTCGTGGCCAGTGTTATTACTCATAATGCGGGCATTGGCTATCTTTCTCTCTTCCGGGCTTAGCCACCTCACTTCGGACGGGGTGCCAAGCAGGAATAGGCACAGGAAGCCAGTTAGAATCGTCATGCCACCGAGGAACTAGTTCGTCAAACCATCAAAGTAACCATTAGCATAATGCCGAGTGATGATAATCTACCTTATAAAGGCCGGTACGGTCAACTCACATAAGACATGTATCGCCAAGCCTGAAACTCAGGACCCCGAGAATATTGCAGCGATCCAATCCCGTAGAGAATCAAGTTGGCAATAATTCCAAAGCCAGCATTGGCGCTCTGGAAGACGAGCGACCGTGAAGCATGTTCGCGTGTTGTATACCAACTTCCGACGACGAGAATGAAGCCAGGTGAGATACAGCACTAGATAGGGGCGACGCCTTGTAAGTACTCCCATGTTCCCATGCCTTCAGCTCAAGGAAATAAAACTTACCTCGAACATACCCTGTAACGCACGTAGGGTGACCAGCTGTGTGAAGTTATGCGTAAATCCGATACATAGAACCACGACACCCCAGCAGATCATATAACATGATAATGTCCGGCCCATCAGATACCGTTGTAGGATGATGTTAGATGGAAACTCGAAGCACATGTATGTGATATAAAATATTGTCGTAAGCCATGAGTATTGCTGTCCAACAAGTCCGGTATCCTAAGTTGGTATTAGTAGAGGAATTGGTTAGATAGGACTGTAGAATTCTAGTACTACCTTTGAAAGTCCAAATGTGGCCTGCGTTCCGATGGAAGTTTTATCGGTCTGTTGAATGCCATAGCAAAGCCACATCAACGGTAGAAGATATCTATCAGCCTTTCTTTTCAGCTTTTTATACTGCTCGTCGGTGTATTCTGGGACTTTTTATTGATAAGTATCTCAATCATCGGCAATATAAGACGAGGTGAAGTCAAACCTGAACCATCTTGAAGCTCACCAGCCGCTATGCTGCTTTTCTCGCTTATCTCCACATCATTTATCTTCTCCGGGTCTTTCTCCGAGCTACTAGATATCTGCAGAGGGATGTTCCCTTCTACAGGAAGCATTGAGATTTCTACGCCTTGCGCCATTATTTACAACGTATTATGAAACTCATTGAACATTCTTGTCGACGTTGTGAGATGTTATCTACAAGATACAAGCGGCGTATTGTTGTTTATATGCAGATGCAAGCCCTAAGATCCGAGTACACCCCACGGGACCACAGCGACGCCATGTTTATCTCGGATGAGATAATGTAGATAAGAATACCGACATGCATGGAATGCGGGTGACGTCTACGGCTTGCTTCCCATTTGGAAGCTCGTATCTCCAGGGATGCTGACTGGACTTGCATCATGGTTCGATAAGATTTTTTCTACTTTCAATTCGATCGAAACAACAGCTCTGAAGTTTAAGTACCACTAACTAGGCCAAAATAGATGAGATATACTGAATATCATAGCCTACATTATGGTCTTTAAGCCCTTTACATGTAATAATATTCCATTTAGCAGAAGTTTCTTCCTTATCTCCTGTCCGCTCGAAGGTGGAGTCCGGGGAAGATCGTCATGCCATGTAACCATGGATTCACTCCAATTGCTTATCTGGCCTGGGTCTACGCCACGGCATTTAGACGAGTCTTGGTACGTAACATCGGCTTAGATAAGTATTTACATATCTATCTACCTATCTATTCGGACAGGACCGATGAATATAAAAAGTTGGAATTCGGTCTGAAGTGCATCACTTTTGTCGAAAAGTCTATAACGCCTTAACCTTGATTAATGTGCCAAAATCATAAGTTTACATTTATAAGTTCTTTATCTTGTCTGAGACCCTGGATGAGTTTATTAGGTCGTTGTTCATTGATTTGGTTTAGGAGATATGGTTGGGCGTATTGAAGATAACTATAGAGAAGATCGCATCGACTTATAGGTGGGGCATCATGTAGATGGGAAATACCTTTTTAACTAAGCTCAACTCTTAGATGTGAATATTAACAAGTAAATCGCTCCTAGATATCGATATTGAAGGGCTTTTAGATAAGAGGTATATTTTACTGTTCTATTCGCCGAAAGCGACCCACAGTTAGGGAATCATCGCACATTATTTGGGTAGTATTGAGATAAAAGGCTTTACGATAAAGGTTTATAGATATTTTTCTAGCTATTAGTAACGAACTATGTTCGGTTCATTATTAAGATAACCCTCCTGGACTGGGCTTCCAGGGTATGCGAGCTATACTGTATACTCGTGAAACCTGTGCTATTACTGGGTTCATATTAGATAATAGAAGCCGGCATAGTTACTTAAAGTCTTGTCAAGAAACAATTCATATCTCTAAGTAATTTTACCTATCATTGTGGTAGGAGGAAAAGGTCTATTTCATCACTTAAGACGTATATATTGATTACCCCTGTCGGTGGAATAGGGGTTGAGCTGCTAATAGGTGAAGACATGTCGTATTTTAGTATAAGCATCAGTCCGATTCCATGTTCGCCCGATGATTCTTAATGTTTATAGCAAAGCACTGAGAGGAGTAGCGACTAATGTATATGCACCTAAATCAAAATAATTACAATTAGACTCTTCGCTCCGTAACTTCTGTCTCTCCTAGCACCACGACCCTCACTCGCTTCCTATCAAAGAACTTCTTCTCATCTTCGTCAACAATTTTCGCATTATCCTCCTTGCTCACTATCTCATAAAACGCTTTAAATATCCCCTCGTTTTCAAATACCATTTCGGCTATTACATCGAAATCAAAATCTTCCTGTGATCCCACGATCACCTTAGCGTTATACCCATCGGCGCGCTGAATGTATCGTCGTGTGTGCGACAGGGGGAAATATGCGCCTGTTATTTTCTGTATAAGGGACATATGCTCATCGTAGCGCTCTTTGAATTGGGCCGGGGAGACGCCGGGGAGACGGTGGCCGAAGACGAGGACGGTGAAGGTCATTTTCGAAAGGTTCTAGGTCCTCCTTATTTGGATGAGATTGCCAAGAAGATGAATTTATCTAGATTGAAATCAAAACTTGTGAGGTAATGGTATGATATAGTATCCGCTGTTAATAATGCTATTTAGTATTTCAGTTCAGCTGGCTTAATCAATAGTACTTAAATCATATTATGAAGGAAAGTCATGTTTCTTATATGCACAATACGTAGCTGATGACGAACATAGGACTATAATAACACGTTTCTCCTAGCTAGTTCTAGTAGGTTCGAAATTCAATCGGTCTTATTAATTTGAAATCTGACACGTAGTTCAATACTGGGGTAGCGATACGTGGCCTCAATAGAATCTTACAAGGCAATGCTGGTCTTGATATAAACTACCTTAATTCTCTATTATATGTCTATAAACCCTTTTTGGACTGTGATAAGTAGAGTGGTTTTCGACTATAATCCCAACGGCACGTTGTGGTATGTTCTCAACCTCTTGTCCCCCCCCCTTTTTACATTACGGAGCAGGTTCCCCAATCAATTCGGCCACCATCCTGAGACGAGGTCCATTGAGACTGGGGGAGATTAATCATCTTGATTATTGAATCCATCTTTTGTAAGTTACGTTTAGTTATGTTGTTTGTTTGTTAAGATTGGGTTGGCTTTGCGCTTAAAGTTTAGCAATGCACTTTGGGGAAGTTAGACCGCTAGGAGTATGGGCCTTAAATCATAAATCACGGCCTTTGTAATGGTGTCTATGTCATACGGAACGGTATAACATAAAAATCAAGGCTTTTTTTTGTTTGCCTCAGTGGCTTTTGTACATGGCTTGCATATGCCGAGTAAAGGAAATTCTATGATTGGGTCTCGTTGGCTCCTTGGCAATAAGGCATACTCATAGGGATGTCTAGTTATACCTAAAATAATGTACATTTCTTCCAAAGAGACATATTACAAAGCGAATTAAAGCTATGATTAAGCGGTGATAATAATTTCATATTGATAGCTTATGGTTTTCCTTTATACCTCTCTTTGATATTAGGGCACCTCCCTTCATGTCATCACAAATAGGTTATATGACAATACAGGTTCGGTTGGTCAAAGCAAGCCGTAGAAATAAATGACTCCAAGCTTTGAAGATAGCTCCGAGTCTATACTATCTGACCCCGCGCTATGTCTCTGACCGAATGTAAGTCTTGTAGCTCTGTGCAAATAGACGCCTGTTTCGAAAGCCACATTCCATCTGAACCCTTGAAGCTGATGGCTTTAGTGTAGCCTTCGCTTTGTTTTGCCATTTCATGCAAAGGTGTGGTAGTACAACTTCGTATACTAAGTCTTGTGGCGGCCATCATGTTTTACTCTTGATATACATATCGTAGTAGTACCACGATCTTATGAAATTGAAATATCAAATTTCACATCTATAAATACCTAGGAGGAGTATATTTTTCAGAATCAAATCTTGATATGTATTGTAACTAGGTTTTAATTCAAGAAATAGTCTATGCTACTGACTAAGGTATAAAGGAAGAATAAGCACGGATATAATAGAGCCTGTTAACTAGTAAGGGACGAAAAAGCTACCAGTGCCATACTTTACGCACCGGTCCGTGATACGACGAAACTAGATGCAAGTAAGAATTAGTGACATTCAATAGCTGATGCATCTTATGCCGCCACAGGATTAAGTGATGATTATGATAGGTAATGAGGCTTAGAGTGACTTTTGTTAATAGCTGTGCTCAACGTATGCTTATGGGCTGAAACTGGCCTTGGATGACTACTTGTGACTTGGAGAAGTTTCTTTTCCTATCACCTGTCAATATACCCAAGCCTTCTGACTAGGATACTGTATGTTTACTTACCAATAGGATTATGGTTGGCCAAGCCTACAGAGTTGAGTGCAATTGTGACTATTTTCTCTTACTCTGCGCAGCATACCCAAGGGGGAAGGATTCCTTGCCTCCGTAAATAGGCTCTGTCGTTTCTTAAATTTTATTCTTCTGGCTTTTGCTGTCAAATTACGCATCCCTGAGCTGATACCTCTTGTATCTTATCTGGAACACCGTCGAAATCACCAAGATGTTTTTGAAAATATTGACATTCGCAGCCTTCCTCTTCTCTCTAGGAATGAGCCAAAGCCACCTAGCACCGGTTGTTGATCTAAATTATGAGTTATACCAAGGATACTACGATGATAAATATGACATCAATGCATACAAAGGGTACGGCGTACTTCTCATGCTAAAATCATATGAGGCTCTAGCTAACGATATCCTAGGATACGATATGCCGCCCCTCCAGTTGGTAAGCTTAGATGGCAACCACCCCAACCCCCGAATCAAAACAGGACTCGAGTAATTCCAGCGATCGGCTATGCACCGCGGTGCCCTCAAACACTAAACTCTCCAGGGTATGTAGAAGAGACTACCCCTATATGAAATTAAGGCTAAACAGTATAATAGTCCGCATAAACCGGGTCCATCCGGCTCCGAAGACTGTCTGTTCGTGAATGTCTTCACACCGGCAAACAAAACAAAGCTACCCGTAATGGTTTGGATTCGTAAGTTTTCAATATTCCTTACTAAAATCCAAAGTGTTAACTCAAATAGATGGCGGTGGATATGGCCAAGCAAACGGGGGATTTGACCCATCACCACAAATCCATACCAATGGCAACACTTATATCATAGTGACGATCCAGTACCGGCTAGGGGCTTTCGGGTTCCTTTCATCAGCTGATTTGGCTAGATCTGGTGTACCAAATGCAGGAATCCATGATATGTACTTCTCATTAGAATGGGTTCAAGAGTATATTCATCTATTTGGTGGAGATCCCGAGCAAGTGACTATCGCCGGGGAATCTGCTGGCGGAGGTGGTGCTATGCTCCTTGGAATGGCTTACGGAGGTTTTGACAACACCGCCTTGTTCAAGGGTATCATCGCTACAAGTCCTTTCCTTCCATCTCAATGGTAAGTTGCATCTTTCATATACTATCGACGCTCGCTTAATAAATACTAAGAATTGTCATAGGGAATATGATGGCGCTGTGCCAACTGAATACTACTATCGTTTTGCGGAGAAGTTGGGCTGTCTTACGGATGGATCGAAAGTGAACGAAACAGTCTTCGAATGCCTAGTCTCGGCAGACACGGTCGATCTTCAAACTGCCAGTGACTACGTCAGTACAAGAGCACCTCACGGTCAATGGGCCTTCGTTCCCGTCACAGATAGGAGACTTATCCAAGAAAGGCCCACCGACCATCTCCTGGGAGGAGGGGGGCTCAATGGCATGCGTATCTTGTCAGCGAGTAACCTGAATGATGGACCAGACTTCACGCCTCAAAATATAACGAATGAAGACGATTTTAGGCGCTTTGTTGCAACCACCTATCCACTATTAAGCGAAACGAACATGACCAATATCCTCAAACTCTATACAATTCCCGAAAATGCTTCAGATATATTAGTCAACTCCGACGGCGTGAGATCACCATACTCGACAACGAACTCTGGATGGGCCTATGGCTGGCAGCAAGCAGCTACGAACCTATATGCAGAAACGTCATTCACCTGCCCATCGTACTGGCTCTCCGATGCGTACGCAAATAAGCGAGGTGGAAAGTCATGGCATTATCAATTATCAGTTCCGCCTGGCCAGCACGGTCTCGACCTATACCCGTTACTCCAGCCGACAGATATTCCGGATACTAGTATGGACGAGGTGTTTCGCGCTGCCTTCCAGAGGATTTGGGGAAACTTTGTAGTGAATGGCGACCCAACTCTCAGCCAAGAGCAAATAATCGCCGCAGATAAAGGGAATATTATTGCAGCAGGCTCTGGAGCATGGCCTCAGTGGGAGGCGGAACCGGGATACAACTGGATGCTTAACGTGAATATGACCGGCGGCACACCAACCACAACGGAATTTATCATCGGCGGTGTCCCGATCAACGTTACTAGCTATTTGCCTAGTAGCGATGAATCAATACCGCCCTTAGTAGCAGACTTCGAGATTGCGGAAGGAAGTTCTTGGGAGGGCGGGCGAAGGAAGAGGTGCCAACTATGGGCAGACCTCGGCCCCTGGATTAAGGAATAACGAAGACTCGCGCTTATGACGACGTCAACAAATAACGATACCGGTATGGAATTAGCATAACTTGATATCAAGTTTCTGGAACATGTCGAAATGAGTACCGAATTTACATTTCATTTATCTCGGATTCCGTAGGACGGCTTCACCCATTGAGCTCTCCACCGGCTGTTCCGATGGCGATGAAGCTTCCTCAATATCAGTATCAGCGGAACCCGCTGTTCCTCTCTTTGGAATATCATCTCTCTTTATACTCCAACCATTAGACCATCCTACCCAGCCGGTTTCCCTTGGACCACGAATTATACCGACGATAATAGCTACGCCGATAAAAGCGATATTGGAGCCACTACTCCAAACCCAACCCCCCTGAGCGTACAGTCTATTTCCAACAGCTGTACCCATGATTTGCCCACCAAAGGAGAAAACCATATATACCGTATTCACACGATTCCTCGCCTTCGGGTCGAGGCTATAAATATTACTGCGATTAGCAGTGTGCGTGAAATTTGCACCCGAGTCCATCATGATGGCATGGATAATAGGCCCCGCAACCGTGAAGCTGCCGATAAAGGTCGATATCACAATGCCAATAAATTCGAAACTAAGACCAAGAACGACCGAAAAGAGGAACTCGAAGCGATCTGTAATAAGACGAGACCAGACCGGAGCAAGTGCGACAACCACGATCCCAATAAAGGCAAAACATCCTATTTCGAGAGAAGAGTACTCATACGGTGGTGATGCGAGAAGGAAAGTCAGAGTTGTCCAAAAGGAGGTAAAGGCGGCGCTGAGGAGAAACCCAATAATACACGCCTGTGTGAGGAGTGGCTCCGTTACGACCATGACAGCCATTCCCCAGAGGACCTTAAAGTAGTTGAGACCCTTGTTCTTCGCAGGATAATCAGGGAGAAAGAAATAAAGCAACACTAAAGTCAAATATTGTGCACCGAATGCTATCCAGTAGATGTTTCTCCACGATGTGAAGTTTGCTACTATACCTGACAGGACCCTCGCGATCAGTAATCCTAGTGCTAATCCCGATACTACTACTGAAAGAGAACTGGCACGGCGATGAGCTGGTGCTAAGTCGCCAACAAGCGGTAGCATGAGCTGCGGTGTGACTGTTCTACTTAACCGTTAGACTTGAAGTAAGGGATACCAGAACGTTGTGTAAAGAATAATGCATAGGTAGGTACTTACCCAACTCCGCACAGAAACGACAAGCTAATGAATACTTCGAAATTATTCGTAAGGCATAACCCAATCCACTGTATAAGTTCGCTAGGTAAGTATATAAAACGAGTTATCATCTACAATTGGATACTTACAATAGTTGCGGTCACCCATATAAGGAAAAGAATAAACGGTCGCCGCGGAACCATATCCGCCAAGGGGCACAGAAAAAGCAAGCCCACAGCATATCCCGCTTGCGACAACGTAGCGACGTCAGAGGCGCGCTCGTAGCTCACATTGAAGTCCCTAGCTAAGACGTTCAAGATTGGTTGCGCATAGTAGAGGTTCGCAACGGTGAATGTTCCGCTCTGGTAGATGTTAGCTTAGGGGAATGTTGGCTGGTTGATTGGTAGTAGGTATATAATAACGTACGAAAGCGAATAACATGTTGAGCGCAAGGGTGAAATTTGGCGGGTTCTCGGGGTCATAGCGACAGCGTTGCGGCATCCAATTTATCACCTTTATTGCTTTAGATAGTAAAGTGTTTTGTTTCGTCTCTCCATGAATCCCTGGTAATGAAGTTGTACTGCCATCTTGACTTCTCGTCTGGACATTCTCTTGATTTGACGTGAAAATGCTTTCTGTATTAGGTCCTAGATCAGTCTTCTCGGACTGGTCTCCGTCTTTGATATCTACTGCCATTGACTATTGCTTTTCTAAGTAACTATGTCTATAGTTCCCCAAGTATAATATTGATGATAGTCAAAATGGTTGTTTTAAGGACGTGATTGGGGAAATCCGACCGATATCGCTTATGATGTCCAGTGTCTTACCTCTTCGTTGACGTAGGATGAAATCTTATATTTAAAAGCCGAAATCTCTTATATATCTTCTCTTTATTTTCCTTGTTTCGACTACATGTAATCGAGTAAACATACGTCGAAAATATATGAGTAAGTTATATGATATATAGGTATATATATACCAGCGAGCCTCTTCAGGGATTCTATCCACGTCGTATTTATCTTATGCAGCTATATCCCCGTTAGTCCGAATATCGCTGCATCTTTCGGCACTTGTAAATTAGGGGGATGCGCATCATGTAAGTTTGTGTGTTATCGCGGCTTACTGCTAATGAAATTCCTCTTTCAATTACGGTATAGGAAATTAGCGGTGAGATGTCGCCATTGCGATTCGTCGTCACCACATCTATAATACTGTAGTTGGTTTGTTGCTTTATCTTTATTGCAATATCGATGATAAATCGTGCAGCTTATCATTCTATCTTTTAAATCGCAATGGTTTAAATCCCTTAATAAGTCTTTGTTATTTATTTATAGAACTATTCCTACCTTGGTAAAAGTCTACCAATATGTTTCATTCTGTGTAACTCTGGTGACTTTTCCTTCGCCCTCCGCAAGTTCACCAATTCCCAGCTCGCCAGGGCTACCATCTTGAGTCCGAATATTCCCATATCTAACCCTAAGGTTTTTCAAGAGTCTCGAGCGTTCGCTATCATCCAAGGTGGTACCACCAAAAGGTACACTAGGGCAGTTAGACGTGCTCCCTCTAATCATAGTTGACACGTTCATGAGCAAGTCGGGGATCCAAATTCTAAAATCGAAGATAGCCTTAACGATAGCACTGATAAACATAGTCATGATTGAGATCACAAGCACTGCCATCCACCCTCTGTTATAAAAGAAATGCGTTTCGGTGTGAATGTTTATACCCGACGTTTCCGCGAGAGGAGTCCAGATGGGATAACCGGTGTAAAAATCTGTAGAGAAGGCCAGGTTTTCCGGATGGCCCCCGTAAGTGAGGTTAAAGTTATAGAACGACGTCCAATAGCTGTTAAGTATCTGCGAAAACCGCACCGCAAACGATTCGTTGCCAATAGTCGTAATATCAGAGTCTATATTATAACTATGCAAGGCTGTCTTGGCAAAAGGTGTGTCTGGGCTGAGTAGGTAGTTCTGGAATAAACTTGGCCCTACAGAACGCGAGACATCACTACTAGTCGCACCCAAAAGATAGTTCAGAAAATTTGGTAGATCCATGGTTGAATCCCAATCACCGCAGTGGTCGAAGATAGTATAGGCGGGTGATTGGTAGATCTTACGTTTCTGGGATCTCCGTAGTCGATCAACTTTGCAGTCCCAGCCGTTGCAATTTACTGAAGCTTCGACATTTGTTGTTCCCATAGTGCAGTTTGCTGCGGTTGGCTTATGTGCACCTGTATTCCTAGTCCGAGAAAAGAGCCGTCTTTCGGGAACATTGTCTGTAGGTCCTGCAGTGCAACGCCTTTCTCTCTCGTCATCACGAGTTAGTGACATAATCCAACCCGACGGAGTCCGGGCTCCTTCTGTGACCAAACCATCGGGGAGAGATATACTATTGTTAAATATCGTACACTGTAAATTCGAGAGAGTGCAACCTGCAGTAGCATTGTTTATCGTCTCGTACCAGTAGTCGTCATTATAGTGCTCAGGAGATCCAAAATCGGGACAGCGGAAATTCCAATAAGAAGCTTCCACGGTAAACTCGGTATTGCCAATCTTTGGTATATTCGCTATTGGTATACCAACGAGAGACGAGTATGGAGTAGCTTCCGAGTACCCTGCAAATGGGATCCATTTGTCTTCGCCTGCTAAGTCGTATCCGGGCAAATTCTCGATAAATGGAATCTTTATGTTACCCCAAGGATCCATAGGAGATTGGCTAATCGATGTGGGAGAAACGAGAGACGATACGAAGGATGAGTCGATGACGTCAAGAAGATTTGTAATATCTACCGAGGATACTAACAGCAAGAGTTAATAATTGCTAATTTTAGTGAGCAACTTATGGTTAAGGCATGTCTCAGGTATAGTGACACCTTATGCAGTATGATAAGGGTATGCTGGCTTCCGAGACAGGCCGAAAGGGGGTCAGAATTGTCGAAGTTCGGTACATACAGGAATTAGGAGAGCTAGCATTGGAAAAGTCCAAAAAACTAAGTGTGAGATTATATGGTATTTGTATATCTCGAAATGTGATGATCCTAAACGAGGCTTGACCTCCAAGGGGGGACAGAGCCCATATGAATAAGAGGCATAAGCTAGGGATATCAAATTGTGTAAGTCGTCGCTCAAGCTGTGTTCCGATCATACCGCCCACGGAGGTACTTCCTAGGAGGAGGTCCAGAAAACTGACTTTCTCCCCGTCTTGTAACCTCCATAGTGCTAGGGAACGCAAAGCACCGCCCACGACAAGGGCATAGACTACAGGAAATATTGTAGGGCCCTAAATTGGGAATGAGAAGCTCGGTTAGCGTGGTTCTATTATAATAATCATAGGATAGCTGTGTCTTACATAGCGGGATGCCTCTACCATCTTCTGAACAAGGTCGGCATCGCTTAGCATGCCATCGCAGCGACCGAGAAGACCCGCGAAGACGAAACAGGCGATCGTCAAGAGTATAAGAATAAAATTGTAAATTATCTGGTTTGGACGAAACACTCTACTTCTCAGCGGAAGCGGCTGTTCAGGCCAGACTCGGAGCCGTCTATATGGTGAGAACATGTCGAGAATGATGAGCTGGATGCAAATGCATTTAGCTTCATAGAATTTTCTACAAGGTTTGAAGAATATAGTCTCCTATATTATATATGTAATAGTCAGAACAAATTAATATGTGAATTCCACGAAAGAGACATAGCTCCACCACATCCTGCTGCGCCGAGAGCTGAGAACATGTCATGTTTGCCGTATAATATTATGGGTGAAATCCCCTGTCGGATATAAGCCTGATTTCTTGGCGATCATAGGTTTAAAACATGGCATCTCACCGGGGCTTCCTAAGTTTCTTATTATGTAGTCATCGAGTGATATTCTTCAATGCAATAGCCTAGTAGGGAATTTCTAGTTAGACGCGAAGCCGTACAGCCCGAATTTATTGTACCCAAAACGGTTGTTGCCATGGGTTTGTAGAAGGATTTAGATAGAGGGGAGCCAATAGTATCGCGAGTTGCCAAGCTTCTTTCAGCCTTAGGAGACTTATAATGGAGGTTGATTTGGGGGCTGAAAAAAATGGCATGGAGATAGAATTGATATAGACTTCTCATGTAATTCTTTAAAGGTGCAATTATTTCAATAGGTGGTGAGGGGCTCTATATTAAATCTCAATTGGAGAAACAATAGCTACGGTTTGTACCAATAAGACAATAAGACAGGTAACACGCGACCCCTCATTGGAGACGTTTACTCTTTCGATTGCACTATGTACCTGTATAAAACGTACTATAAATCTACTGGTCCAACATACTGAAGTAACCTAAGCTGTTATGAATATATTAATTATGAACAACACAGATAAGTATATACTTTAATATCTTATCGTTCTTATCTCTTAGGACTAACCTATGATAATTCTGATGCAATTACGCAAAGGTCCACTGTATCGGACAAGTGTCGGCGGATCACTTGTACCGAACTTACAAGGTCTTTAAGTCTTATCAGTCAGACCGCTACAAAAGGCAGCGGGGACCGGACGCATCCCCATTGGATAATTTAATTCGCTATAGGTAAACTTTTTAGGCATTGGGCTCGATTTCTTTTTGTCCCCGAGACATCTTAATACAAGATTTTCTTGGATCCGTCTTACAGTACGGAGGAAATCGAATACTCATGGCAGCAGATGAGACATCACCGTTACTCGAAAATGCGGCCCCTCCGAGGATAAACAGGCCTGCCAAGCCCGCTGGTACCCTTTTCGGTCCCGCAAATCGCATTCTCCTCGCCGGCTTCATGATGGCTTTCACCCTCGGCATCACACAAGTTCCGTAAGAACAACCGCTACCTACCTATTCGCCTTGGCATCATATCAATCTTAATCTCAATCTCAATCTTAATCTCAATTGCAAACTCGATACTGACTATAAAGTCAGAATCAATTATGTGTTCCGTCTTATGGAATGTGATGTCTTCTATAGCCATAATCCCCCGTTTGAGGGACCCGGCGATAGATGTCATCGTCGAGAGATTAGTGCTGGTACTGCGACTCAGGTTTCTATCCTAGGCATGTCGACGTCTTTTAGCGGCGTATTCAATTTATTCATATGTGGCTACTTTATCAAACTTTGGGGTCCGCGATGGGCCTTCGTCTCCCAGACTGTACTTCTAGGTTTGAGGGTATGTACGCAGATCGTCGCCGTGACAATCGGTGGCCGGGAAGGTATAATCATTTTTCAAGCTTGTCAAGCTATAGGTATCATTGGAGGACCCCGCGGTTTTCAGTACGTATAACCATGTTCCCTGATCTCGTTTTGATGGTTCTAATTAAACCAATGTAGGCTAGTTCTCAACACCGCGGTGAGTGAACTGGTCGCGCCCAAAGACCGCACGGCCGTTTTTGGTCGGTTACAAGGATCAATCATGTTGGGAACTGCATTTGGTTTCCTGCGTAAGTCCAAGTAGACAATATTGCGCTCAGCACATTTAATTAACAGCTTTTATAGTGGGAGGCGTGCTCGGCGACATCTACAATATTAGACGTCCATTCGAGACCGCCTTTTTCCTCTATGTGGTTTCTTCACTATACGGAGCATTATTCTTACCGACGGGAGCAAGTGATGAGGCTGCCAGTAAGAAACAAAATGGTCGGGGCATTAGTGCTTTCTTCGCACCTATTAGGATGATCGCACCTCATTCTTACCGTTTAGAGTCGGGCAAAGTTATCAAAAATTACAGCTTGATTTTCCTCGCCCTAGGTATTTTCCTCGGCGTCGTAAGTCATAATATTCAAAACGTATGTTTGTCTTTATTGCCCTCTAACTATCCCGCAGTTCTCTTCCGGATATGTCCCGATTCTCCTGCAGATGTACGCCACTTCCGAATTCGATTTCGGTACTAGTGAGAACGGATATCTCATGTTCGGTAACGCGGCTATCCGCGGTATATTCTTACTTTTCATGTTCCCGAAGATCATATCATCCGGTCGGACCTGGTTCAATGGTACATCAACGCCAGCGGAAACTAGAGAACATAGAGTAGAGACCCATATTCCAGTTAACCCAGGGGATTTTGAAGCCGACGAGGTCGGAGAAGTACCACAAGAACCAATACAGCCCCTTGAGGATGAGGAAGATTCCGGGACCGGATTTGACCTCTTCTTTGTCAGATGGAGTCTGGTTGTCGATTCAATAGTGACAGTAATTGCTGGCTTCTCAACGGAGGGTTGGCAGGTATACCTCGGTAAGATGGCCAGAGACCTCTTTTTAATATTCCTGATGAAATTGACAATTGACAATTGCTAGCTGGATTTTTACTGCCGTTTGCTTCGGGATCGGCACCGGCAGCTAAAGGGGTTATGACTGAACTATGCCCCCCGCAACAACGACAAGATGCCATCAGCGCCATCACCTTAGTGGAGAGCACGGCTACGTTATTAACGCAAGGACTTTTCGGCTTAATTCTTGCTATTTTCTCCGAACTCGGCCAGCCGAGCTTAACATTTTTCTGCAACGCCGTATGTCTTAGACCCCTATTCTAGTTTCTAACAATGTACTTACTAACATCTACCCAGGGGTTTGCTGTACTCGGTTTTGCCGTCTTGTTTATGGCACACCTACCACCACCTAACAGCAAGAGAATTGATGACGAAGATTCGGAAACCGAGACTGAGAACTAGACCCATTAGCCACGGCATAAAAATGCTCTTTAAAAGACAGCGGCGAAGACGATCAACTGGACGAACATATTAGACTGGAAGGTATATATGCATCAGTGCGGAAGGGAACAAGACTGGCACGCCCTTCGCAAATACATTTTCAACTACCTATATAGATATTTTCTGGTAGGACATTGAATAGACATATCGGATAAACTTGTTTAGATTAGTTCCCCGTTGTCGCCAAAGTCATTCTAAGTCGTACACTGCTTGTCACCTTATATCGTCGGAAACAAACGAAGTCGATCCCACATGTCCTAAGTACTCATTAAGATATAGTTACACTTAATAGAACACGGATATCTGTGTGTCACATAGTCCTCCTAATAGTTGATGCTGTTAACTTTGCATAGGCGGTACCAAAGTAAAGATTCAAGTATGCTTAGACTCTCTCTAAGCTAAAGCAAATAAGCCTTCGAGAGGTTGGATTAACTGCAAGCCAAACGATTAGAGTCACACCTATACGCATATTACACTTTAATTACCTGATGAATCGTTCAATCTTAGACAAGTCATTCCGCGACTTTCACTTGTTTGATGAGAATTATGAATCATCCTTACTATCGTGAGACATGTAGTTGAGTCATTAGGTTACTTCTTATACAGCATCATCGAAAAGGTAAGCACTATTGATTAAGAATATATAAATCATGTTTACATACCACCACCTATATATGCGTTAGTTCCTTTCCGGATATCCTAACCTCTACTCCATACCTAAGGAGGTATATACTATCAATCTATTATATACAAAATATGCTTAGTATTTCCTCTGCACGTACTCAAGTAACATAATTCCATGGCAACTTCCAAAGTCTTTAGCACAGACCTTTTTCTAATATGTGCCTCAGGAGATATGTTAGGTACCTCAGGAAGTATGTACCTAGGTACGTAACCTTCGTCAGATTGTTCCTGCTTATTCTTTCTAAAATCACTTCATTTACCGTTGCCCCTCAACAACTCACCGGTTTGTATTTGGCAGTTGGTAACCTAAAAGCTTTTCTGCCGTACTCAGGTACTACCGCCTTCTTTTCCCCTTCACTGGGCCTACTTAAACATTGTCCATCTTCTCTTCGTCTCCCTTCTTTCCAAGTCTCTAAACAACATTTTCAAACAACCTCAATCTAAACTACAAATCCAAAGTCATCGAATATCTATTTTCAATCAAAGGCAGGATTGAATTAACATTCATTCCACCGTAATGGATCGAAGACTAAAAGACATGTTTGGGGACTTCAGTTTCCCAGTCGATTGTATTCGCGCAATCGTACCTTACGGTAACATTCACGCGAACCTCCACGATCTTGGAGAAGATCTTACTCCTCCGCGTCAACTTCAGGAACCTTTAATGGGTGAGTCTAATATAAACTTTCTAGCCCTCCTCGAGAGTTGCAAGACTAACATCGGCACAGTTAATACACCCACTTCATACCAATCTTCTATACCTATCATAAGCACAGATCAGAGCTCGACTCAGGTTCAGACCTTGGCTCAACATGGCGATGGCCAAGCCAACACCGCGAAATACGAAGACGAAGGAGACAGCGTCAGCCCCACATCAGGCTTCTCAACCAACTACCACGGGAAGAGGAATGAAAAAAACAGGCCCGATGATATCACAGATGAAGAGAACTGCGCTGTCTGGATCGAAGGCTTACCCGTCGATATTGATTATCCCACGCTTCTAGGAAAGCTTCGAGGGACAGGCAAGATATATGCCGTTGTCATCAACGACCCTGTTAAGAGGCACCACACGCGCGCCGCCAAGGTTGAGTTCTGGGGACGAGATGGTGTGACAAGACTATTCAACAAGTTCGGAAATGGTGAACTTAAGTTTGGTGAAGTGATGCCAATAGTACGACCAAACCGCGTGAAAAAGGGCGCGCAACCTGTTTCTCATCGCTCCAGAGTCATAGAAATCACAGGACCTATCCAATTAGTCAATACTGTGACTATTACTACGCTACTACGACAATCATTCTTCTATGACATAGAGTTGATCGAGATTCTCTGGATAGAGGGAGGACGATCGATGATGCGGTGGACCTTTGGATCGCACAGAAATCAAGCTGAAACCGCAATGCGCCTCTTTTCCAGTAGGAAGAATCATACCATACCATCTCTATGGCACCAGGTCCATTTCCGCTAGGGGCGGGATCCGTGTGAGCCTTAGAGCTTTATTGTTAAGGGGGGGGGGTTGTTAGGGAATAACTAGAGGTTCTATTAGGTGGACTTTAACAGACATCATGGTCTGTAGAGACAAAGAGATGAAATAAATTGTGTCGTTTTTCCTCAGTTATATATATTTCAGTCTTATTCTATGTCAGGCGGTATACTGTCTCTGCTCCGATACTACTGTCTTTTCCTAGATGTTCAATTATGAGTTACTCTAGATAGGTTTCGTGCCTATAGGATGTTAACAAATTCGTTATCTCTAGTCCTATTTATCCAATGATGAGTGTTTACAGATTACATAGCCTGTTAGTATACTGATTACTATAGTTCATAAGTGGCGTATAGCTCGTCTTGTATACCATTATAGGCGTTATAGCTTAGTGATTAATTCATACAGTGTTGATAAATATTACGGAAAGGTATGTCTAAGCAAGGAGGAAAAGGGGTAGAGCGTCTTATTTGTTAGTCTTTATTCTAAGTCTTTATTCTACACCGCACTACCCGTTTCTTTTCTATTTAACCATAACACTAACTAGAATATCATTTCTAATATAGCTTAGTCAAATATGTTTTCTAATAAGATGACGATTGAATTTGTAACGTGATAGTCAAAGCTACACCAGCCGCCCGCAATCTCATGCACCCGCCCCACGGTACCGGACTCGGAGCTGACTTGGAATCAGTAACTAACATCGATATTTATATATTGGCGTACCATTCGTATCGACCAATTATCAAAATGTCTCCGCCTGGCCGAATCGGAAAGATATCTACTCCACCCCACGGAACCCTTTGCCTTCTACATATGTAAGCAGGCCACCCTAGTCGATGGCGTGCTGATGGCGTGCGACAACACATTCACCACATTGGTCCGGATCGGGTTTGATAAGTCCCCTGGCCATGTAACAAGAGACCCGCCAGTCCCGGTAGCTGTAAATAATTATTAATGGCAAAAGGTTTAAGAAAAAGTACATTAATTATCGACATCGCAAGGTCGGGTTGCGTTTATATGTCAAAATAGCTATGATATACTAGTTGAAATAAGTGCCTGTGAGATAGAATTGCTCTGTATACTTACACGCAACATACTCGGCATCATCGCAGCTATGACGGAAACGCAACCCAGACATACCCACGTCGGCAGAAACTCGTGGAAAACAGTTCGTACACTCCTACGAAAGATAAGAACGAAATCGAGCTTGAATGAGAAATCCCAATCGAACTTAATAGACGGTATCCGAAAAGCTTCCACGCCGACAACGACGACAGATGAATCTGCTAATGTTTCGGTCGCCGAGTTCGCTGTACCCGGTATGCAGAAAGCCCTTGTCGTTGCTCGTAAAGGCGAATATGAGATTCGCCATGACTTCCCGGTGCCGACGGTCGGGGACGATGAGATTATGATTCGAGGACACTACGTCGGCCTGAATCCTATCGACTGGAAATCCGTTGACTATAATTTCTGTTTGCCTGAATTTCCATGGGTAGGCTTACCCCTCCTTACTCGCTAGACGATAATGACTTACAAGGGCATCTAGGTTACGGGACGAGAAATGTCTGGTGTGGTAGCTCAAGTCGGTTCCGCCGTTACTCATTTTAAGCAGGGCGACTATGTCTGGACCAGTACGTATTATAAGGACGTTCGTGCTGGCTGTTTTCAGGAGTATGTGGTCGTACCCTCGCATACTGTGCTTCCCATTCCATTAGGAGTACCCATTGAGGCCGCAGCATGTCTGGGTGTCGCAGCTTTAACTGCATCTATGACATTATGGAAGTGGCTAGGCGTACCGTTCCCGCAACAACCTGTGGATAACGAAGAGGAACAATGGCTTTTGATCTGGGGTGGCTCTACTGTCACAGGCCAATTTACTACTCAGATTGCGCGGCTCAGCGGGATTAAAGTGATAACCGTCAATTCCGTGGAAACAAAGCCGTTATCAGAGCGCTTAGGTGCGAACCATGTGGTGATGAGAGACGGAAAGTCGGATGAACAAGTTGTGGACGAAATTCGATCTATCACCAGCGACAATGTCACGCGGGCAATCGACTTAGTAGGACCTAAAACAGCAAACCTAGCGCTCGATTCCGTATCGAAAACCAAACCCGTCGCCTTCGCACCGCTAGCCATGATGTCAGGTTCTCAAATAGTCCCCGAGAACGTTGAAGTGCATACGGTTGAGATGAAGCAGTTCGTCCTCGATAAGAGCAACGTCCGTTATACTGAAGAACTCGGAAAGCTGTTAGAAGGGGGCCGGATTATTTTGCCCGAGCTACATTTGCTTGACGGAGGCTTACATTCGATTCAGGGGGGCCTTGAGATGTTGAAAAAGGGGAACTTGAAAGGCAAGAAATTGGTGGTGCGGATGTAACGAAAGGGGTAGGAAGTGTGTTTTTAGTAGTGCATTAGAACACCATTGGGTTTTTAACTCGTGGGTATAGTATATAGACTAGCATATGGAGGGCGTTGAGATGGTGTGGCTATTTGATTGTTGCTAATCAATATATGCATCCAAAGTCGAGAGCATGATATATGAGCGCCTGGATCAGAGAAAAATGTGTCGGAATATGCTGGTGGTCAGGCTCAGTTGACTATCAACATTGAGATAAATATTGTAGATATAAATAGATGCTAATAAAGCATGATACGAATAAGTTGAAGAATAATACTATCTGTAATTAGCATATAGGTCTGTTACCATGGAACCACCATAGCTTTCCTAAAAGTCTTCATCATCTCATAAAAACACCTACTCCCCTTTAAACCCCCCAATCTAGTATAATTCCAATATTATATATCACCAAGCGATCTTAGCCAATATTCCGTTAGGGTATCTTCGTATAAGAAACTTGCGTATCTCGTCGAATATCAGGATAAACAGACCGAAAGCAAAGGGTAGAAACCAGTGTTCCACCGGAACAGGCGAAGTTCCCAAAACCGACTGCAGCTGAGGGATATAAAGCCATAGGATAGCCATGCACAGAGCGAATATAACTGCTGGGAAAATATATAGGTTTCGTGTGTGTTTATTGAAGATGGGAGGATGCTGGAAAATACTCCATCGCCGCGTGCGTACTGCGAGCAAGTTGAACCATTGCCTATACTAAGTTAGCTGATTTCACCCCTATGATATTTTAGTCGGATTCCATACATGACAACAAGATTAACGAAGTAAATGGAAGATGCTTCATTTAGTTTTTGCGCATAATATTCTTCGTCGATCCAATCCGGGAGATCTCCAAAGGAAAACCATAGCACGCGGAAGGGTATTCCATTCTTCTCCAGATACCAGTAAGCCATCGCGAAGGAAGCGATAGTCTCAATCATGCCGAGAACACCATACGCGTGGATAACAAGTTTCCAATCGACCAAGCGGTCCTTCTTGACGTTACGTGGTTTGCGCAACAGGACATCAGCCTCCGGTTTCTCGTAGGAGAGTATTGTCGCGGCAGCGCAGTCTGTGAAACAGCTAAATAGTGTCAGAATATTTACCTATAACTATTATTTCAACTCAAATAATGCTTACCAGATAATAATCATGAGAAAGGACGAGAGGATCTGTGGGATTCCAAAGATAACATTGGTCATTACTGGCCAGAACTCAGCGAAACTTCCAGCTGGAAGCAAGTAGCAGATCACTTTCTTCAGGTTATCAAACACCACCCGACCATATTGCACCGCCTCGACAACAGACGAGAATGAGTCGAGCAGTACCATGTCAGCTGCCTCGATGGCAATGTCGGAACCGCTTCCAAGAGCAATACCGACGTCAGCAGCCTTTAAAGACGGAGCATCGTTCACACCATCTCCAGTCATGGCCACTACGCCGTCAGTCTGGAACTCTTTCACGATACGTAGTTTCTGCTCCGGAGTCGTGCGAGCAAAGACAATCTCTTCATACTCTGTCAATACTTTCCATTGGTATTCGTTCAGGCCCAGAAGTTCCGGTCCGCTAATAAGAATCGATGAGCGGGCGTTGGAAGCCTTCGTTTCATCTTCTACCTCCTCCCTAGGGAGCGAGGAGACATTGTGAACCAATGGAGTAGGACTACTTACGATGCCGGCCTCCTGAGCAATCGCAAGAGCTGTAAGAGCAAAGTCCCCAGTCACCTTCATGTTGCATATCGTTAGCAGGGGTATAATACCCGGTTACTAGGCCTCACTTACCATGAATACCCTTATACCGGCACCGCGCAGCGTCGAGACGACTTCGCGGATTTCTGGGCGCAGAGGATCGACAATAGCTACAAGACCAACTAAGGTCAAGTCCGACTTAGCATGCGTAACAATATCATCCTCAAATTGAGTTGTTCCGGATTGATATTGTAGCTCGTCTTGGCGAATGACCTTGCGAGCAAGTAAAATGCAACGTTTCCCCTGGCTGCTATACGCGTTCTTCATGTTATCAAACGATGCTCGCATATCGTCGTCGAAGGGATGTACATCGCCTGCATTATTAACGAAGGAGGAGCATCGGCCAATAAGGACATCAGGGGCCCCCTTTATAGTTAACAATCTGGTATAAGTTAGTATTGAATCTTTCAAAGGCGTTTCGAACCTCTTACGTGTCGCCAGAATTGAAATTTTCCGCCTCGGCCTCTGATAGAGTAGCTTCTAGACAATCCTTCCTAAACATGGAAAATGTCCTGATCATGAACTTGTTCTTACTATTAAAAGCTAGTTCATACGTCTTCTGCCAGGATTGGCGTAGCTGTTGCACTGAGCCGAACCGTTCAGAGAATCTCAATACTGCCTGGTCGGTAGCGTCACCAAAAACACGGCGCTGTTCGATAGGTAAATCCATGGTCGCGGCGTCAAACTCGGCTGCGTTACAGAGTCCAGCGATGGCACGCACTTGATCTACGCCTGTTGTTACCATGCCAGCAATGGCCGGTGCCGTGCTCGTATCTAACTCGTCCTCGGCCGCCTCAACTGTAATGGTGTGAGTCCCAATAGTGCACTCGGTGACAGTCATTCGGTTCTAAACAAAATCAGTTAAGAACCAATGGAAATATTGGCGTCGACGTCGACTCGTTTTTTACCTCGGTAAGGGTCCCTGTCTTGTCGGAGCAGATGACGGACACAGACCCCAGGGTCTCGACTGTCTTTAGCGACTTGCATAGAACTTTATGCTTGCGCATCAGGTTCGCGGTAATCGTCAAACCGGCGGTCAACGCGATAGGCAACCCTTCAGGTATAAAAGCGATAGCTACGCTGACGCACCCGACAATCAGATTCGGGACGTTAATCCAATTTGGATGGACCTTTCTAAGCCAAGCACCCCTAAAGTATTGTTAGCACTGAAGATTGATGATAGATTTATACTTCACTAACCAGACAATCAGTACTATGGTAATCATCATGAGCATGATAGAGCAGATGATGACGACGAAGTATAAAACCTCCTTTTCCAAAGTAGTCAGTTTAACTTTTGGTTCGTTGGTTAAAGCTGCGATGCGACCAAATACTGTGCGGTCACCAGTGGCTACGACCAAGCCCATACAGGATCCAGATACGCAATGGGTACCCTGCAAGCCAATGCAGCGAGTTTCTAAGTAGTTATTGTCTGTCGAGTCTACAGTTGCTGCGAGAGGTAAAGACTCTCCGGTTAGAATAGATCTATCAAACTTAGCATCGCTAGAAACTTGGAGGAAGCGCATATCAGCCGGCAATTTGTTTCCAGCCTTAATGCACACTATATCGCCCGGTACGAGCTCTTGTGCATCGAGGGAGGCCTGAATACTGTTTCGGATGACTAGGGAGTCTTCAGGAAGCATGTTCTTGATAGAACTCATGACACGAGATGAGCTCCAGTCCTGGAACATATTAAATGCAGCCTGGATGAAGAATACTGCAACTAGAACTATTGCCAAAGCCTAAGAGCGAAGGTCAGAAATACTAGAAGAATTAGGTCCCGTCCTAGATTATTACTTACCAGATTAGCCAACGATGGAGGTTGGCCGAGCGGTTTCCACGAGATGAAAACCAGAATAGCTCCAAGCAGAAGTATAGGGCCGAATCCTTTAAAGAAGTAACCAAAATATTTCTGAATGGTACGTGATTCCGGGGGAGATGGGGCATTTCGCCCGTATTCTTTCATTCTACGAGTAACTTGTTCGGTTGAGAGACCCTCAGTCATCGATGCGCTGAGACGTCGGAGGGCCTCTTCAGTCGATATCGTGTGCCATTCGAGCTCAGATAGATCTATGTGATCCAATGTTAGTAAGCGCTCTGAGTGCAATGCTTAAAGTATGACCCCTTTACCCTTAGTAGCTTTATCTTTCGCCTCGGATAGCTGTACGACATTCTTCTGTTTGGATTCTTCGATCTGGTACGAACTAGAATCTCGATATTAGAAACTACACGCAATCTATTATTGTTGAATTAGTAAATAATGCCACTTACACGGTGCGGTACTGGATAGGAAGGATGATAGATGGATCAACTTCACGTCGTGAGCGCACGCTACGAATAGACATTGAGCCGCTAGATTGTGCACGACGGAGTCCACGAGTAGGACGGACAGCCTCCTCCTCGTCCCATTTTACGCCAGGTTTAAGGTCAGGTTCGTCCATTTCGGAAAGAAAATATGAGAGTGTGTAAGTCGATGCACATGCACCACACGAGGAAGACGAGATGAATGAAAAGCCCCGAGAATGTAACAGAAAGTCGGTCAATTGAGGTGAAGGTCTAGGTTACTGACTGAGTTAACTACCAATTTATATTATCAGATATTGTTATCTATCTAAGCTAGGTAGGTGTCTAATAGGAGTTGATGAGAACGATGAAGTGGGAGAATAAAGCTGTTGATGACATGCAGGAAAACAGGATGTCGCACTGTTAGTTGTTAGACGTCTTCGCATCTTCTTCACAGTATAACTTAATTACACATACTCGAAGCTCCGTTAAGCTCCAATAATCGCATATCACATGTTGTTGTTTTTTCGCCGATTTCAAGCGCCAGGAACCCTAGAGAGATGTAAAGAGGCGGTGCCAATTAACCTGCATTCTTTGAAAATTGAGCTTGACATAATTCGCGCACCGGATCTAGCAAGGCTCTGCTCAGCTATCAGCTCCGGGGGGTTCAAAGGTGGGCAAGTTATGAAGAAACGGGGTCTAAGTCACAACATATATAAAACATCATCATCATGGTACAATTAATAGTTAGGGATGTACTCGGATGTGTATTTAAACTAACTAGTAAAAAAGGAACCGTGCTCCACGCAGGGAACATCAATACATAGGAGGGCGGCCTCCCAACTTGTGGGTCAGCCATCAAAAAGGCTCCTCAATATAATATATATCTCTCACATTACCGACTAGAAAGGGATCTGGCTTGTCTGTGGGGTATGCATTTCATTGACAAGGATGTAACCTCTCCCCTGCGAATGATGTATTCATACATTCAAGATATATCTAGGTAACTAGTTAATATATACCTCTTTTTAGATATGACTTCCATGTCTTGCACATGGCAGGGTGGAAAACTCTCTTTGTGTGTCTCACGCCGCCGTCATTACGTTCTGCCTTACTCTGATAGGTTAGAAGCCATGTAAGCTCGGTTTTTATTTTCCTATCCGGCTGTAAGCGTACACTTAAGGAGAGTAGGTCTCGAATGTGCATACTTGCTTTTCAACCTCGCTTACGAGTACTTCGAACGACATGAAAGTTAAATGGGATAATACGTTATTGTGTTCGGGGCAGTAAATTTTAGAATGCTCCATTGCTATATTAAAAACCCTGACAATTTAGAACTGGGACAACAATTTACATCATAAATAATAACCGCTTATAAGAGACCAGTATCCATAACTCCTTTCTGAATTAGACGTAGCTGAGAGAAGATAACGGAGGTGTATGTTTCATATATCTCTAATGAAGCATCGACTCCCTCGTTTACAACTCTCCACGCACACATCATCCCCGAACTAGTCATCTAGTCATCGTAGCATATCTTCATCGTGCACGGGAACGGAAAGTATGCTCCCCTGTCCTCTCTCATATACATATAAAGGCCTCCAGGCTGAAGGACTTTCTTAAGCTCACCCTGAGGCCCAGGTGCTCTCCGCAAATTCTTCAATTTGAATACTGACCGGAACATTTCAGTAAGCCCTGCTTGGCCGGCGTCGCGCCCAAGACTGATTTGCGGTCCAAGCCCGAAGTGAATATAAGCGTCCAGTGGACGACGTGGGTTCACTTTGTCGGGATCAGCGAAATGTTCAGCGTCCTTAGCCGCGCCGGTCTTTGCAAATTCAGGTCAGCTATGCTTTAATTCTTTATCAAGTTGCTTGGGCATTCCACTTACAGAGCTAATAAAAATACGGTCGCCAATACTGATCGATACCTCGCGACCGTCGTCCTCTATGATAGTATCCCCGGCCGCTGCTCGACGATACGAGCCAAATGTTCCCGAAAGCCTGATACCTTCCATACAGTATCCGAGCACCAGCGCGTCAGTTTCGCTCGAAGACGGATTGTTCGCGATGCTATGAATCTCAGGGATATACTTGGATCCTTCCGAGGACAAGTAGTAGTCTACGGCTTGAGCGAACTATTTGAGCGTCAGTTACTATTATAATGATGATTCTAGGGTCTTCGAGGCGTACCACTTCTGAGATATTCGGCACAGATGCCGCTGCTGTAGGTAGAATCTGGGTCCATGTAATGTCATAGTTATTCATACCAGCTTTGGACAGACCTTTGACCAAATTAGTGCCGTACGATGCCAATGGGTCATTCTTATTTGACCCAAACAACAGCCCGCTAATTCCAAAGCCCGTCACCGTCTTCACGTTATCTTCAATCAATTTACCTAATTGGCCAGCAATAGCCTTTGCCGCCTTTCGCATTGGGAATGCCTTCATGGGATCGATGTCAGAGAAGATACAGATAAACACCACAGAAAGAGCCAAGTATAGTTCCTGCTCGCTATAGATGCCATTCGGATTCTCCTTTGTCTTGAGCGGCAGATTGAATACACGAGAAGTAAAGTGTACTGGTCCAAGATTTCCAACATCACGGACAATATCCACAAAATTCTGACCCGCCAGCTTGTAGGTCTTCTCTTTTATGAGTTGGTCCGTGATATGAGAGTAAAATTTCTTGATTTGGGAATGCCAGTCCCCTTTGTACAACTGATCGGGTGCAAGTTCTGTCTGACCAGTATAGGAAGGTGAGTCTCTCGAATTCAAGAAGCGTTTCCCGCTATGGCCCATGAGGTATGAGAGTCCTTCATTTCCTATGGTACTATACTTATCTTGATTATCGTGTATATGTTGCGCCCCACTGTAGGTCGTGACGATAATAGGAGGTGGTATAAGTGAAGGTCGATCGTAGTTGAAGTCTTGTACTCGTCCTAAATTAGTCAATATCATCTTGGTTTCACTTGGAACTGAACATTTTAGTTAGCTTTCACATTTATCAATTATAATGTATCCGAGAAGTGGTAAACATACCGACCATGGGGTAATGGGCGTAAACTGAATCTCCTCTGAAGTGATTCGGGAAGGCTCGTGTGAACAGCTTATAAAATACACAGCCTTGATTAATGTTCAGATCATACGCAACTTCATTGTATCCCCAAGATGTGAGACCACGTGGGTGGTAGTCAGTAGTGTAGAAGCGGTCTCCTCGAGTTAAACAGACAGCATCAGAAAGAATGACCCGAGAAATCGTGTAAGTAGGCTGATCAATATTAGTACTCTCATAATTGTATACCACAAATAGGTAAACATACAGCAATTCCAACTCCAGGAACCATTGGCTCTTTTGCCTCCTCGGCAACAATTCCCGGGTAGAGCTCGACGAAATCAGGATGTTCATATAAATGGCGGAGTGAATCAGCAATTTCAGGGTCAGAGTTGATGTCTTCAAACTTCTCATACGGCTTTAGTCCAAAATGCTTGCGGAACTCGTTCAAGCCTGCAACGTTCCACTTTCGGCCCTGAAGGATACCTAATATTTCGACGGGTTTCATTGATTCTGGTACGTTACGGTCACCAAATGCTCCTGCACAGTCTTCGATAGCGTCGGAGATACACCCGACAAGATCCTCATCGCTGAATTTACCATCGGAATTTCGCTTGAAGCCCCCGAATACTCTCTCAGCAGGATCATCTGGAATACCGCTATCGAACTTGGCAAAGCCCATAATCAAGTCCTGATGACTTAGTTCTAATGGATCCTTATGAAACAGCTCGCGAAAGAACCCCTGGAGCCATTGGTCGTCTTTGTCTGAGATACATGAGTGCCACCTACAGATTATTGAGTAACTGTAACTGGAGGATCGGCAGTCTGTTTGTATTACTTACCTGTAGCAAAGGTTAAACTCGGCTGAAACCATACTACCAGTACCACGCTCAGACCCAGACTTGGTGCCAACATCGTGGCCCATCTCTGCGCGGGGGTCAAGAGTCCATGTAGTGTTACTCCGATTGAGATTGACAATATTTCTTACGTAGTCAATCAATGTGATATTGATGTACAATCCAGAGGTGACAAGTCGGGCCGTCTGGAAAAGATCATTGTCATATTTCTTCCATGCAGCCGCAGCCTTCTCTTCGCTTAGTCCTGCGCGCGGAGGCGTAAAACGACCACCCTCGTTAATCGTAGCTAGGTTTGCTGCTACGTGGTTATGGAAACGGTTGAACATGATTAGAATAACGCTAACTCCAGGAGGTGACCCAAGAAGCCGCTTGTCCGCATAAGTGTCGGGTTTCATCATTCCATCCTTGAAGGTCCTTACGGAATCCTGCATAGCCTGATTGCTTCCGTAGAGAGGGGAAAGATCCAAGTACGAAGAGGTCTTGGTCTTGCTCATATCAGTATGATCTGTCCAGAAGAGATCATGAATGATGATAGTTGCCCAATACCAAAGCACCGAAGAGACATTGTTCGGGTGCTTTCGGTATTTAGTCCTCTTCATGACCGATTCGAAAATGAGACCCGGGTCAGGCATGGCTCCTAGGGGTACAATGCCTGGGCGACAACTCCTGGCATATCTTGATCCGGCCGCTCCAAGTTGAGGGTTCGTTGGGTTGTTCCATGACCCGTCTGCCATCCTGTATTCGTGTTTCTCGCCCATATATAATAGAGGTGGGTGGTCTAACGTGTACCAAAGTTCGTTCAAGAATGTATTGGTGAGCTCCTCTCTGAGTTGTGATCTATGAGGTAGTCCAGCAACAAGCTGGATGACGCGCTCCATTATCATCGTCTTATCGTCTACAAGCTGTTCTCCTTTAAGCTTGTTTCGTGCCAGGTCTAGGACTGTCTTCACATCTGTTATAAATATTTAGCTAAATACTGTTTTCCAGTTGTTTATGGTGACACACCTTTCAGACGAAGATACTTCAAATCCTTCTTTAATCCTGTCCTTTTAATCGTCGTACTATAAGTGCCATCGCCGTTTTGAATGGGGAGAGGTCGTCGTGAAGCGTTTAGAAATTGTCCAAATTGGGCAAAGACAGTTGAGACACCTTCACGGTCGGCCTTTGGAAAACGTTCGGGCTTCTCCTTAGAAGAAGGTCCAGATGAGGATTCTGAAGACTTGCTCATAGTAGTAGAGCTGTTAGAATCGACATAGCGAGGTCTACTACCGTTAGTTCCATGAACCTCGTTGCCTGTTATCGTGTCTCCCATCGTGGTTTGCTTGTAAGAGTCAACTTTCAGAAATAAGTGTCGAGCATAGCTAATAGCTTTCAATAGACTATGAGTTCTAGAGACTACTTAACATAAACCAGATTTGCTTTGGTAATAATACAAACATGGCTAGCCGACTCGGAGAGGGATTTCAATCGGAAGAACATCTTGTGTTTGGATATAATATTCTCGGACTACATGTGCAACTATCCGAACCGAATACCCACGTAGGTCAACTCTCCTTAGAACCAATGCAAGCCTCATATAACATGGCCTATCCCATTAAGAGTGTGACAACAGCAGAGACACAATCAGTACCTAATGCATAACGAGCGGGGTATCAGATAGAAGCGAGTAACAATCATATTATTAATTCACCGCCCTTACAACGCCTAGAAATTACGCTTGACGTAAATATTGACATTTGGCGCACCTGGTGGCGTTCATGCTGCCGCCCCTAAACTAGGTCATATATTTAATAAATCAGTTCTATAATTATTTTAACAAAATAGCAACTACACTGTCTTAAGACTTGAATAAATTACATTTCCTTGATAGAAAAGCAAACAACCCTAGTGGACGTACTCGCAGATTCCAATCAGTAACATGATGCGGTTAGCCACATTTCGTAACCCTTCACATAGAGCTGAACAACTAGAATTGGTATTGATCAACGTTTGTTATACCTAGTATTACGCCAATGAAATAGTATAGTCTAGTAGTCCCACCAATAATACATTACGAGATGTAAGATGTCAGCTCATATATACTAAATAACCAATTAGACCTTGCCAGTTAATAGTATATTGCAATCTTATGCAGTTGATTATGCAGTTGAGCTTAGCTATCTGACTAGAGAACTTATTGAGTTTGTAGATAGTTCTCACCTTGACAAAATATCCCTCTCAACAGCAGTAGAGAACTATAGCTAGGTACCCATTCAAGTTGAATAGGTGGCTGTCAGCCACGACTTGGTTTCCGAGCATACGTAGACATGCTTTTTAACTATGATCGACCTAGTGATTTTAAGGGATCATTTATACTAATAGTTCGGACATAGTTACCATTACGTCCTCGCCGAGACAGCCTCCCGATGATCCAATAATTTACTACCGAACGCCTATTTGGCTTGGCGAAATTGTTTCGTATGTACGGTGATCTTAGAGCAGTTGCATTAGCTTCTCGCTGTATACATAACCTAGAGACTTCTGGTGGGTCGCTCGGCATCAACCTGTGCTGTGTAGCACTCTCCTAAGTCTGCCCTTTTATAATGGAACGATATCACTTAGCACCCGAGGGGCGTTATCTGACGGGTCGCGAGGATTCAAAAGGGCATGTCACAACGTCCTCAATTCTTGATAGAAATCTAGGTTACCATACTCCTGCATAGACAACGATGGATACAGCAAAAGAGACTCGTACTCCCCAAAAGCTTGTGCTATGTTTCGATGGCACAGGCAATAAGTTTAGAGGTGACGACAGTGACAGTAACATCTTGAAGATATTTAGATGTTTGGATCGGGAATCCGGTAGCCAATGTATATATCTTAGATCCGTTCCGAAGGCATGCAGACTTCCATACCACCTCGCTAACTGTGAGATTAGATCACTACTATCAACCGGGGATAGGGACATATGTCGTGTCTAACTCGCTATCCCACACAAGTCTAAGTGCTAGAATCCGATCATGGTACTTGAAGGCCAAGGACTCTGCCGTCGGCTCAAGCTTCGACCACCATGTAGTAGGTGGATATCGATTCCTCATGCGTTTCTATCAGCCAGGTGACGAAATCTACTTTTTCGGCTTCTCCCGAGGAGCCTATGTAGCCCGGTTCCTAGCGGAGATGCTTGACTATATCGGTTTACTTTCGCATGGAAATGAAGAGATGGTGTCCTTCGCCTGGAAAGCATTTTCTCAGTGGCAGAGTCGCCAGTCTGACCAGACCGAAGAACATCAGGCCCAACGACAGGAGATGTATCGCTTCATGAAAGGATTTCGAGAGACATTCAGCCGCCCTGTGAAGAGAATCCGGTTTTTGGGACTATTCGATACTGTCAACTCCGTTCCTCGATTCGAGGCTGCGTGGATGCAAAGGTCGAAAATGCCATATACTGCGAGAAGTAGCGCCAAAGTAGGTCAAATTACGTAGTAACTATTGTTATCGTTCGCTTGACTCACTGCTACTCATAGGTCATTCGACATTGTGTATCCATAGATGAACGTCGCGCAAAGTTCAGACAGGACCTTATTTACCAAGGGGCTATTAAGGACCACAAAGCACATAGGAACTTGCACGAAGTTATGCACGAGAAGTATCGCACAAGGCGAGGTACGGCCTTGGGGTTGACACCTAGTAGCATGCCAGATAGAGGGCGACGCGAAACCTTAGCCCCCCCTGATGAACATACGTTCCGGCCCCATTCCCGTTCCCGGTCCCGAGCAACGAGAAGCTCTGTTGACAGAACGAGCCAAATCGGTGATGATAAGCCGGGAATTGCCAATATGACGGACATTGACGAGGATTCGGATGATGATGAACAAGATATCGACGAGATCTGGTGAGTTCAATAACACCAAATAATGCCTGAAGATAATAGCAACTAAAGTCAAGATAGGTTTGCCGGCGGCCATGGCGACGTTGGAGGTGGATGGGAGATCATGCCGGACACTAAATCTGCGAGCCATATACCCCTTGCCTACATGATCAGAGAAGCACAACGAGCAGGTCTTACTTTTGACCCGGAGAAGCTAGTTGAGATGGGTGTCATCGAAACTTCCGAAGAGCCTGACACTAATGCCCACCACGACAGAGCTATTCCAGACATTCGCGTTGACAAGTCAAGTCCAACGAGCCAAGCTCCATCCAGCCTTGACATCCAACCTACGCATTGGGATCACTTCAATTTTATAGGCGACGAAGAAAAGAAAGAGCAAAGCGAACAGAAAGTCCGGCCATTCCATCAGATGCTTCATAAAGCCCATTTAGCCAGAATACACGACTCTCTGGAGTTTGCGTCTGGCTTAACTAAAGGTCAAGTGATGACCTGGAATATAAGTACGCTACCTCCCTACTCCTTTACTCGCTCGCCGCTCTCGTATACCTAGATCTATGCAATACCCTATATATATAAAGCCAATAGAAGATAAAAGCTAACATTGATGCTCTAGTGGAGTATATGCCATTCCGGAGAATGGATCTACAACCAGACGGATCGTGGAAGCCAATACGTTGGCCGCTCCCATGCGGTGAAGTGCGAGATATTCCTCATACCGCCAAAATACACGGTTCGGTAATCCGACGCATGAAACAAGATAACACCTACCGTCCCGGGAATCTCATTATTGGTGGTGGCGGACGCGGGCAGCGCGTAGCCCCTGAGTCTTATGGTATTGGTGAATGGAAATGTGTCCAAGATCATGAAGATCCCATAGGCGAGGTTTGGGTCAGAGATAGAACTAGCAACGCCGAGTCATGAATCATATGTCTATGAGTTGATGGTAGGGAAATTGAACATTATATGGAAATCCTTTCAATATACTCGTCGCTAAACTAGACAATGCCTAACCTATACTCCTTTTCCCAGTTTCAACTCCAATATCAATTAACTCGTACCCCTCACCAAGTCATTTCACTAGGTTAGGTAAATGCGAGAAAATCGGTCAGTACTAGAAGTTAGCCAGCTTATCAACACGATTCGTAGGATTTACCTAGACCACCCAGACAAGCCATCCAGTCCTATCCAGCATCACGCATGTATCAGCGTTACGCTGTGGGATTCCATGCTAACCCATATAGCTCTAGCCATGAGGACATATCGAGTTAGAATCCGCGAATCAAGCAAGGGTGCCAAATGACATGGCATGTCTATCAATTGTCTAGGAATGATGGCCGGTAGTTGATTTATTCGTATTAGCTTGCTTGTTATACATGTAGACTAAATAGGCTTTTTATCGCTTCATTGCTCCCAACGACACGAATAGAATATCGTATAATGGCATGGTACGAAACCCATGTTCCTTCTTTAGCACTATATCCGCAATTTGCTTCAACTTTATTCAAAGACTCCATCCTTTCCTGAGGGGCTAAGTAAAGTCTCGACCTGGGGTACGTGATGTAGGCGACTGTTAAAAAAGACACTTAATAATCCCGGAGAGGACTTCGGACAAGAAAGATATGGAAAAATATATTTGAATAATATTGATTTTCTTTTTAAGTGGTACTGACTTCACACATAATATTTTTACGATATAATATAACTCGATAAACTTGATTTGACTTGACCTATTGGCAACGAAGATTCCGACTTCCTCAACTAACTACCCCCCTTTTTTTATTTTGACGGTGATCCCCTCCATTGCAATCCTCTTAAACATTAGTTCAAACACTGGATGCTTTTTTTTTGTCCTCTTCTTTTCCTCGTGCTATTGTCAAGTTGGTCACGTCCCCACTTACTCACTTCACATCTGCCCTTTGTTTTGACATTCTCCCCTAAAAGACCTTATTCTCTAAGATCTCTCTACGGAGGTAGGCCTTACTCAACATAGCCCGCATCCAACCAAGTCTGCTGCAGCCAAGTACCTTGCGAGTTTCGAGTTTCGAATCTTGAGCTTCGTGTCGTTCGCTTGTGGTTTTGTCCTCCCCAGTCACGTACTCAAAAGAACTGCTTGCGACGATGCACACAGATTTTAGCCCGCCCTCCTTTTTCTCGTTAAAATGCCACTCCTCCCTCACTCTCCTCAATCTTTGCTAGTCATAATACAGGAGGGCGAAAATTGGGTATCTGAAGAATGATTTGATCCGATCGGTCAAAATGGTCTGTACGTGGACCCAATCCGTCAAGGAATATTAACCGCCCGCATTAATATTGCGCGTAATGGAGAGGTATAACCGTATCGTATCATGTACGCCATGAGTCATGCCGGAAAAGAACACAAGGGGATAGAAAGACGGGGGAAAAAAATAGGAGTTTGAAATTGGGAGAAGAGGTAAACTCCCAGGTCGATTCCAAGAAGCTCGTGAGAAATCTAGTATGACTCACGCTTTTCAAACAGTAGGAGCTTATGATAGCCGAGGACCCAGACACCGATAAATAGGTGATGCGATGAAATATTTGAAGGGATAGATGGCAGTAAAAATGGTAGTTGTAGTAAATCAGGCAAGAGATAAATGCTCGTTATGCTTAAATTTTAATAATTCAAGATGCAAATGTAAGGAAAATATGATTATCCAAAGTTTTGTAAGGCCTCCTTCAAGGAGATTTTGTCTAGGTAACTTGATTCTCGCGGACAGAATTTATCCTTTTGAGATGGCTGGTGTAACAGTTAAAGCAATCAAATTCGTTCGGGAGTGCTGTCGAAATAGCTACCCGGTCGACAGATGCTGGCCATTAAACTAAGCCAGATCGAATACCGCATAATTTGCGATATTCTTATGCTACCGGGGGGATAGCCGGAGCAGCGGGGATCTCAACCTCAGCCGGCACTTCGCCGTTAGTGGTCTTTTGAGGGCAGTCGCGGGAAATGTGGCCAGCTTCGCCGCACTGGTAGCATGTCTTGCCAGCAGTGTTTAGAGGGCCACCATTAGGTGCTGTGCAGTCTCTCGAGATGTGACCGAGTTTCCCACAAGCATAGCACTTCATAGCCTGAGCTTGACAGTCGCGCGCAAAGTGATTCGGCCCGCCACATTTATAACAGGTAGCCGGTCGAGGTCCACCGGCGAAACCGCCCCGACTAAAACCACCGTAGCCACCACGGCCGACCGGAGCACCACGTCCGATTCCAACACCAGCAGGGTTAGGGCAAGCTCGGGCTAGATGGCCTGGCTGACCGCAGTTGTAACAACGACCATTCCCACCAGCACCGCTTAAGCGCAGAGTAGGACAGTCAGCCTGGACGTGTCCAAGCCCTTGGCAGTGGTAGCACTGCTTCGCCTCGGTAGTACGGGGGAGAGGGCACTGGTTAGACTCGTGTCCTGGGCAAAAGCTGTTAGCTAAAGATCGAAAACTCTATTAAGGGGGTGGAGGTTTACCTGGCTGTTTGCAGTTGTAGCAAAGGCGTTCAGCAGAGGAGCAAACCTCGGCATAATGGCCAACATTGCCACACTTGTAACAGGCTCGACGAGATAGAGAAGACATTTTAACTAGTCTGTGAGTCTGTGTAGTTCCATTATCAGCACAACACTTCACATAAATTTTATCTTCCGCTGTCCACTCTTGAATGACCCGTTTGCAGCGATGTGGTAGTGGTATGTTAGTATTCTTGTTCAACGGCAGCCAGTCTTCAATCGAAATAGAAGTGGGCATTTCGTCAGAAATACGAATCCAAATTTGTCCAGGTCACAAGTTTTCCTTGAGTAACGGGGGTTATTCGTATGTAGTAGGTATTGCCACTAGGATATTCATCCACTGATATTATAAAAGGTAGACATTAATCAATTTGGATGCAACCCAAAATGGTAATAAGGTACCGCCACGTGCAATTTCTCATCGGATAAAATACCCCACGAGGAATGGTATGGTTTCGCAAACTAAACGGATGAGCGCCAGGTATAGTTGAGTGGTTTTCCAGAATCTGCAGGTCGAATTGCTTTTGGTTACAGACGTTTGGGTTTGTGATACCCGACACAAAATGCGAGATAGACAACCCAACCTGCCCGATCGATATGAGATTCTAGTCGAATGTAGTCTTTTAAAGAATTGTAACTACGTTTTATCGAATAGTTTCGAAACCAATCTTCCTTGACTTGCGCGTCTCGATATTAGATCGTACGTATGGCAATATTTTAAATATATGAGTCGATTTTCTCGTTACTATAATAGATAGCATCTGATCGGAGGCGAATTCTCTTGGAACATTGGTTGTCGGGAGGTAGTAAGAGGATCGGGTTGACGGATAGTCGGTTATGCGCAAACTAATCGAACCGCTCGCGCCGAGATTATCAGGCCAGTAATGATGGAATCACATTGTCGCTAGATATTATAATCCGTATATTCGGAAATTACTCGATACCTTCTGCTGAATACCGAGAGACAAAAATGTCTCTAAATTGTTTTGGAGTCGGCGCATTAAGAAGTAGTCGTTAAGTCCATGAGTCGCAAAATAGGCGCGTATAAGAGAAAAATAGATATCTGCGGGGTCTTTGTCGCGGCGCATAGTTTAAGATTGTTAAAGTTGCGCGCGCAATCAAATCGCATAAATAATAATCGTTATTATTGTCGCCGTCATCGCCGTTATCGTAGGATGCTGTGTAGGAGTTGTTTGTCGCACAACATGAAGAATAATAATAAAAAAATAGATAGGTCGATTTTCTGGACCTAGACTTGTCGCTGTACCACACACACCATTTGCGCGCGCCGGGTCATTTCTTGCAGAATGCAAAAATGATACGTAGATCAAAATGATTAAAAAAAAAATAAAAAAGATTTTAACTCACATTTCCCTTAAGAACCTTATCAACTTCCTACTTATTCCTTCTCTCAACTCTACTTCTTCAACTTATACTGCTGCTATATCCGTTCAACCAACAGCAACCTTCTCCAAACACTGCGCGACCTCCAAAGGGGGGGGGAGTTGATAATAATATGCGATTACGATACGATGCGATGAAGATGTAATATTTAAGATCACAGTCAAAGAAAAAGGAAGGGTTAAGAAAAGAGTAAAGGGACGAGGGAAAGGGCAAAGAGGGCACGGAGTGAGGGGGGACAGGTTCCAGAGCATGTGGAACCCGGCGCGGGCGAAGGGGCTACTCCTCTAGAAGATAGGTTAGGTACCTAAAGTACCGGATACAATTGCTTCGTAATAACTAATGCACTATCTAAACCGGCTACTAACGTAGTAGATACCTTTTAGCAGTTACCTATAAGCCCTTAGTGTAGTAGACACTTCCCTGCATACAACATGTACGTGCCTACCTTAGTAGGGTTAAATTACATATTAGTGGATGGATCGTCAAATTCTGGTGGAAGTTTAGGTGGTTTAGGTACTTCAGGTTTTTTTTTTTTTTTTTTTTTTTCATATCTCTTCTGTTTTGAACTTCCTTGTTTTGTTTTAATTAACTATTGCTACATGTAGGTACATTTTTCGTTTCTTTTCCAAGAGATATTCTATACCCCATGTTATTGTCAATAGGCTTCTATATTCATATTCCTTGCGTTTGTACTACATCACTTTTGTGTTACCATGTTATACTCCTCTTTGCCAACATACCTAAGCCTACATCGTCAACTTCGTCAACTTCGCTATAAGCGTTAGAAAAAAACGAAATTAATTAGAAACAAAGTACTTGGTATATTTACTACTTTCCATTTTGGAGTTCGATTGGCCAACTTACCAACCAATAATAATACTACCTAACCTTCCCCCCTTTATTCTAGTGTCTTATGGTTTGCTGCCCTGCATAACTACCGCGAAAAATTTCACATCTACTACAGTACTAATCTAGGTAGGGAGACATGGATCTAATGTGATTCAAAGTCTCACTAGTATACTTTCGTAGACTTTAGCGAGCTACCATCAGATGCCAACTATCCCGATTCTTTTCGTGTTGGTTCGTTTTCATCTCTTATATCCCTCAAAATTCCATGTTTATACCATGTACTATGGTACCTCACCTTCAATTCCACGTGTTTATATATCTTTGCCAGGTTGCCATAAGAATAATAGTGGAGGTCAAGAAAGTGGGCAGACTCTCGAATAACGAGATGAGAAGAGATATGTACCTAATGTACACTCTTCGGCGAATCTCATGTTAGCCTACTCGAGCTGATGATCCTTCGTAACATGATCCCCGGTTATCCATATGATTTAGACGTGATACCCGACCCCACATCATAGGACTTGAGGCCCGAAAGATGCGCAGAGAAGACTGGTTAGAACGGGACGGGATGAAAAAAAGAAGAGAGACAGGGTGATAATCTGGAACAGTCTAACCAAGCTCTTCGAACCTTGCATGCAGTAGATGAACCCTACTTGAGATGCCCTGGTTAGGTTATTATCAATCATTTCCACAGATGAGAATGTTTCGTTTAAGCATTGCATCTTAGAAGCATCTGGTGGAAGAACAAGCTGCTGGAATTTGGAACCTGCATATTAACGCCACATGGCTTCGATAGTAATGAGGAGCTATTTATTACTTACATCCGATGTATCACTCAGTATACATATATACATCCAACCGAGTCCTTTGCTTGTAGGTAGGGGTAGGGGGTAGGGGGGGATATGTGGGAGATGTTATTATCCCACCATTCTTCCCCCTCATCAGCCTACAAAGACCCTGCCCCTCCATGTAAATCCTCGTGCTCCAACCAACCAGAGCTCCGTCGCAAGGCCGGGGGTCGTAGAATTTCGCTTCCGCCTTGTTGATCTTCCAACATCGTCAACTTACTGGAATTGCGACTGTGATCGCGATCTTGATTAGTCACATCTCGTTGGAGCATATTAGCACGCTTCCGCCCTTGGAAGTTTTGCTGGGATTGGTCGCGTCGTAGTTAGTCTCATTTAATATCTCACTTCTTTAACCTCATTCGCATAGGTGTGTTTATTAGAGCGGCAAGTCCTACATATAAAAATGTTCCTTTAAATTTTATATTGAGAGACTTGGTAAAATTAGAATAAGTTATAAGTTATTGATAAGACCAAACACTCATACCGAATATTTGTTATCCCAAGTGAATATATATCAATCAGGCTGGGTATATAGATTTATATACACGTAGCCTACTTCTGCTAAGAGCCTCGCGATATGGCTTGGCTAACCATGTTGAGCCTCGGCGCAAGAAATTCCACGAATCTACGCTAAATACATTTGTAATCATCACTTGCGACACGACACCTGACTGCGCTTCGTCGATCATAACATAAAGAGTAGTATACTGAAAGACTTAACAGGGTATATTATCCTGGAGTCAAATTAATCCCGTGAGAATAGGAAATCAGATGTGTTTCTGAATGGTCGACAGTATAAACTACTTCCTATCAACTACATCAGCATACATGTAGGTATGTTAGACATATATTATTAGAGTTATTAGCTTATACTTGGTAATACTCAAGTAACAGTCCAGGACAACACCACGAACAGCCCCAGTAACTCCGATTACATTAGGTAGTAATGAGTACCGTTAAAATAGTTCTTTTATGTAGGATGAAGAAAACCTGTCTTTTCTCTCATCTCATGGTAAAATATAAAATAGTTAACTAAAACTATAGCCTTGTCTCTTCGATAGCGCCTGCACCATAAGAGGTACACACTGCTTGATAAAATTTGGTTTGACGTGCGCTCCGCCAAGAGAAGAAGACTTGATTAGCAGGTAGTAAATAGTTGAATGGTGGTTTATGAAAGCAATATTAACCCGCGCTCCCCCAGCGCCAGTGCTAGAATCACAAACTCCGTATGCATATATAACCCCATGCTACCTTAATACCACGCCGTGCTAGTATGAATAAGACATACAAGGCCCTCACTTTAATCCTTTTCCTTTTATGCTCGATTCCTTCCCTCTGATCATACACCATTATACAGATAGGCTACCCCATCCCATCTCGTCCGTCCTCCGTCGAACGTCGAGTTGCGAGAGCGAACAACGTGTTCTATTACCAAATGATTTCAAGGCCGCTCCGTCGCGGATGGTGGCCTAGCATCGGATGGATGAGGCGGAAGTGGGACGTCAGATAGGGGGGCTATGGACCTTGGACGAGCCTCAACAACGTAGGATACGCCATCCTCAGATGCATAGGACGGTGGGCGAGCCGTCTCAGGACGGGTGTGCCGCTCTTCGTTGGCTTCCGTAGGAGGGTGGTCATTACGTTGCCAATATAAACGATCCGGATCCACGCGCTGTACCACTTGTTAGTAAGGCTGTTATTACCTCCTGAGATATATATATATATATATATATATATTGAAACATACCACGCTCTCGCGCCATAACCCGTAAGCCGGAGGCTCTAGCTTATTAGCGACGTTATCCATCCCTGCAGCTTCCTCGTCTTGCGCGAGAATCACATGAATTGGCCGTCGTGGGACAGCGTATCCACCAGGTTCCATTAGCCGTGGTAAAGGGGGCTGCTCTTCATCTTCATTGGGCGGCTTGATGATCAGCATGCATATTCTTATTAGGCCGTGGCAGAAGAAGATAGTTGAGAATAAAATGATGACGATTAGAAGCACTGTGAACTCGCTGCTGTACACTTTCTTCGAGATCGAAAGAACGAGGTCTATATTCGTCACGTCAATATAAAGCTTCGTAATAGACAATTTGAATTACTCACAGATAGACAGCATAAGCATTAAAAAGAGGCCCGAGACGAAACACCGCAGGATCTGAGAGCGTATTCGCCTAGATTTAACCCAGGGGAAACAAAATAAAAACTTCTCAGGTCGCGCATGTTGTCTATGCCTTCGGCTGCGATTACGTCTTGTTCTGTCTACCTGATCGACCAAACGAGTCTCACCAGGATCAGCGCCTCGAAGTTGTGATCGCCCGGTATCGACATCTCTATAGCTACCACGCCTATACGAAGGTCTCGGCTCGGATACGGTAGGAAGTCTTTCGGTCTGCGTCAGAGGTGGATATTGTTGCGATGTAGGCGCAGACGGCGTCTCAGTCTGGCCAGAAGTTGGACGCGAGTATTCTTCGGTCCGTGTTAAGTTTGGTACACGTAGATGGGTGGAAGACGTATTTGGAAATCCTGAATCGACATGCGGCGTCTTTGGGCTATCATCTTCAGCCCTGTCATCACCGGCACTCTGATTTTGTCCACCTGTACGCAACCGATTCGTGAACAGCGTAGGCAAGGATGGACGACCGACTGGGAAGCGTCTTGAACGGGAACCTGATTGCTCCCCCATCTCCGGTTGACCCTGCTGTTCTAGATCCTGCGTTTGCGCATCTGAGGATTGTCCTCTCCGTAGGACATTTGAACGAAGGTAATCCATAACTAGAATGAGCAGATATGTAGCTTCTTAAACGTTGAACCTAGTGTCACCGACGTCCAACACTGTACATGCTGTTGTATCCCGGTCTCGACCGCTTTGCAAAATCTAAGGATTGATGGGAATGAGCGCGGTCGACCAAGGAAAGAGTACTACAATAAAACACGGGTGGCTAAGTTAGGCCGACCTGGCGTGTATCCTAACAGATCGTGTCGATGATTTTGTGTAAACCGATTGGTAACGAATACCGAGTCTCTTCGGTAATGCAGTGTTGGTTTCGGACGCAAAGACCCTCGACGAATCGAATACCTGCAGGATCTATATGCAGTATGTCTCGAATCGTAAATTATAAGCTCGGGATGGACCAGCCAAGCCGAAGAGAGAAGGAAGTAAAGGGATATGGTGGGAGGGCGAATTATTGAATAAATTAATAACAGATTGACGCAGGAGAATAAAATCGAAACTCCCAGAGTCCGATATTCTCAAATCGTATAGAACGAGGGACGAGAAATAGTACAAAAAAAAGGAAACAAGAGGATTATGATGATTCCATCGACTGCAATAGCCGTCGATTGGCTCACGGAAAGTAGACAACCACAAACGGAACGAGAGGAACAGAGAGTAAGAGTAAGAGTGAGAGTGAGAGTGAGAGAGAGAACTGTAAGGCACACCAAGGATAGACGAAAGAAGATGTGGACGTCACAGCGCTTGAGAGACAACTAGAACGAACGAGTGTCTCCAAAGCGTTGGCGGTCTCATCTGCAATACAACTAGTAATCGGAAGGATGTGACCCTGTTAGAATAACCCAGGCATACAAAACAACTAGTACTCAAAGTGAAGACCTAAGAAGACCTAAGGTGGTAGATTTGGTCAATTTGGTCAATTTGGTCGATTTTGGTAGATTTGGCATTTAGGAAGAAGATGAAATCAGCCAATCAAATTTCCCCTTTATCGCCGCGTCAAGGAACCTGCCGCTTAAGGGTCCGTTCTCTAACTGCAACTGCAGACGCCGAGGCTGCTTGAGATGAAACTCAAACGCAGGGGCACTACCGCGACCATTGTTTCGGAATTGGTACGTACCACCCAATGAAGCAATAGCCATATGCGAGTGGGTCTTATACGAGTGTATCCATACTTCCCGATAGGTAATATACATGATGTAAGTGTGTAGGTACCTAAGCTACATTATCTCATTCCGCAAGTGATGACATATAAATCTAGATATATACCTAGATATACATTATCTCACTCTAGAGAGCCAACAGTACCAGCGTCAGCATTTATATATTAATATATCCTATGGGTTTGCTATCTGCCTTGCAATGAGGTCGACAAGCAGAGCATCAAGTGTTTGCGAGGCTACCTTTATCTAGTTGACAATTGATCTAGACGACCAGAAACATGAGTTCAGACCCATTCCAGAAAGCCATCATCTTTTATCAAACGTCTATCTGGTGCGTAGACTTGATCCATTATCTCGGAGTGGATCGTTTGAAGAATTGCTAATAAACCATCGCCAATATTATTGAACGAACTATAGCCCTGTATTAAGGGAGCCTAAACAACCGAGTTCAGGGTCTTGCTGAACAAGATATTTAAAGTGAAGCATACGGCTTACAGAAGTGTTCGGTGAAAGTCATATAGTCCACATCCAGGGCGATAAACTGAACATTGTCCTCTTACTCTTGCTAAGCTGGAGCTCTCATCTAAGCTCCCCAAGCAAAATCCTACGATCAGAAGACGCAGATAAAACTAGTTAAATGTCAACAACAGGATTCGCAGAAATTTGCATCGGGTTTTCACTTACTAACAGGCTCCTCGCCAGGAGTGAATTCAGCGCAATTGACAGCTCCCTTATGGCCTGGTAATTTGTATAGGAGCTTGCCATTGTCGTTAGACCATATTAATACTGTCCCATCACCAGCACCCACGGCGATTTTCTTGCCAGCCTTGTCCCAGCCAGCTCGAGTTAGATTCTTCTCAACTCCTACCTGTGCCCCATCGAATGTACGGATGTGCCGCTCGGTGGGGGCGAATGGCCTTATGTCCCAGGTCTTTGCTGTCGAATCGTGGGAATACGATAGTAGCGACTGGGAGTCCGGTGAGACACGTAAGCTAGTCACCGTGTCGTTATGGCCTAGCATAGAGTAGACAACGGCCTTCTTGCGAATATCCCAGACCTTGATATCGTTATCGATACCGCCCGAGAAAATTTCATTGCCTGCCTCTGCGACTGCTACTGCTGTAATTGGGAAATCGGTCTCGATAAAGTCGGCGGCATTTTTCGATCGAGGGTCCCAGATACCTATTGTACCATCATCGCTTCCGCTGATTAAGAGTTCCTCGCCACGCTTACTCGTGTCCATGGTGTTTATGATTTCCTCATGCCCGATATATCGTCGTATCCTCGTTCCAGAAGTCAAATCCCAGCTAGCAAGATGCATATCGGCCGAAGCTGAATATAGAATTTCGGAGTCTCGAGACCATTGTAAGTCCAAGACAGCGCCTCGATGGCCTGTTAGTACGCCGTAGTTCTCGCATGCTCCCGAAGAATTCCAAAGCACTATATGAATCAGTCAAATCCATGAGCGAAGTAACGAGACGAAGCTTACATATACTTCGGTCCATCGACCCCGAAGCAATCAAAGCCCCCGTAGGATTGAATTTCGCTGAGAAGATCTCTCCAGAGTGTCCCGTCAACTCCATCAATGGTGCTTCTAGGTTACTTGTTCGAGGAGCCTAATCTAAGTGTTAGTGCTACGCCTGCGTTTCTCGTTTTGATTCGCATAGTTAATAGATACACATACGGATTGCACCAGGGCATTACTCCCAGAGGCTCCATCTCGGCGTGAGAGCGCAGTACTTGTTCCTGGCTTTTGTCTTTTAACAACCAATTGGCCTGCGCCTGGTTCTTCAGGCGCAGGTCTTTTTTCAGCGGACATTGCTGCTGATTTAGAAATTAATTTAAACCAATATAATGTCCTTTTGTTTGTAATATGCGGCGCGAAATTCGAGGGTTATAATAAGACTTGTAGGGTGATTTCGCGTGACTTTGCGCGTTTCTATTCGGTGATAAAACTTAAGTTACGTTTATCCAGACTGGAACTAGGAGCTTCAAGTACCTAAGTAGATGTAGCTTCAGCTGTCCGTCTTTTGAACTGCAGATGAAAGCCAATTGGAATGATTCAGGGCCCTGTCGTATTTTAGCGGAAAAGCAATTTTCCATTATTTATCTGAGCCCTCCTTTACGTAAATGAGCTTAAAGAGTGGACCTTAGGAAAGATCGGAACTTTGACATCAGTTTGCCGACGTAACCCCTCGATCTACAATCTATCAGTGAAACAATTAGCAACTGTCTTCACCGTCTCGTCATTACTAAACTTAGCACCTAAAACGATAACACATACACATCTACGCAAGCTTACATTGTTAAATCTGCCTTCGAAAGATCAAAAAGCATATACAGGAAAGAGTCAATGATCTAAATGATCCCAACTTGAGCTCGTCAACCGAGCATGTCAGCAAACAAAGCTGCCCGTGTGGGCGAAGAGTAAGTAAGCTACATCTATTCAGCCTTGTATTATCTTTACTAACAGACAGTAGGATTTGGAAGTAAGTCAAAGAACCATTAACTATAAATACCTACCTATTCTAATAATATACTACAAAAAGGGGTCGCATCGATAAAGTTAATGCCGAGCTTGTCACCTTGACTTACGGCACCATAGTCGCGCAACTATGCAAAGACTTCGAAGGTGATTATGTCGAAGTTAATAAACAGCTGGATAGGATGGGTTACAATATTGGCCTCCGATTAATCGAAGACTACTTGGCCAAATCTAATACTATGAGACGATGCTCTAATTTTCGAGAGACAGCCGATATGGTCGCGAAGGCAAGTCTTCAGCTAAAGCAATTTCTTTGGCATATATATGTATGTCCCAAACTAACATCTACGATTGGTTTTTATAGGTCGGGTTTAAGATCTTCCTTAACATTACGCCAACTGTAACGAATTGGACAAGCGATAGCAAACAATTCTCACTTGTATTCGAAGAGAACCCTTTAGCAGACTTCGTCGAGCTTCCCGACGACGGCCGAGCGCAGGACGAATTGTGGTATTCGAATATATTTTGCGGTGTATTAAGAGGAGCGCTCGAGATGGTGCAGATGCAAGTTGAAGCGCACTTTATCAGCGATGTACTACGAGGGAACGATACCACCGAGATGAGGATATCTCTAATCAGGTATATCGACGACGAGTTACCACCGGAGGATGACTAGTACGCCTACGTCGAGGTCAAAGACATGTATAATTAATAGGTAGAATATGCTAGGCCTAGCAGATCTTCTAGCAGCCTTACAGGCGCGGCTTTGATAGGTGTTAATAATGATACCAGCTAGAAAATATCTAGCGATATAGGACGACATCGGTCTCGAATTCTCGGGGTATTTCGGCATCTTACGCTTCATCCTACGTGTACTTCATACCCTACACTCGGAAAAGTCTCGCATGAAGAATTATCACCGAAAATGACAGACGTATTTAAATCTCCTATCTCTTCGTAATAGTACTTACTTCCTTGCTTGAAATAGTATTCAACAAAAGGAAGTAAAAAAAGGCAATATAGCCTAGCGATACTCGAGAACACACTAACCTAGAGTAACATGAAGAGTCAGGACAGAAGCAAGCGACGACGACAGGTCAACAAATTATAAATCAACAGTGAGAGTGATATAAATTTTGTTGTCTCGGATGGGATCCAGATTTCTTATTCTTTGGATTAGGGAGGTCCACTTGACTCCCGAGACTGAGGGAATCATGGGAGGGGGAATGCGGGAGGCGCCGCGGGGGTGTAAGGGGTGTAAGGGGTGTTAAGGGCCAGGGCTCGGTCTCTTGGATTAAGTTTCTCTTGGGTCAAGTCGGGGTAGTTTTGGACCCCGCCGAGTCCGCTTGAACCCATCGTGCCCCATCCTTTCCTGCAGTGATCTTCCGGCATATTTGTAGACGGGCTTATATCAATGACCTCGCCCACTTGGCGATCCTTATAGCTTATAAGTTATCCCCATGGTACTACAATCTTCGCATAGTTGGAGTATAGTAGTTTAATAGTTAGTAAAACCCATCTTTGATGTTGTTAAATATTTATTAGAAGGATTCTAATTTTTTTTTAACCATCATGTAGTAGTGTAATAACTAAAGCGCCATCGGAGGTTTTCTTTTTCTTTTATGCATTCTATACTTACACGGAGTGCAACTGTACCTGCGTCTACAAGTCCACTGGTTTATCATTAGCGTGGCACATCTATAATTGTTAACACGATCCACCAAATATTAATAGGTTACTATTTCAATTCAAGCTGAATCGGATTCAAGCAAGCTTCTATATGATTATATTACAATATAAGAAATTAGTAGTGCTTTATTCCCAGTGAAGATCTAGTTTAAACCAATCTACTAGATAATCTTTTATTTGCTATTTATTTGTTGAAACTAATGTTGGCTATCCTTGTTCTGGAGCAATATCTCCAGCACAACCAAAGAACTTCCGAGTAGTATAACAAGATTTAATAACGCTTTCTTTACCCAAGACTTCAGCTTTGCCTAAACAAGGCAACGTGGCAAGCGCCTGACGAGTCCAAAGAGACACGGCTGACATAAGTGATAGGTGGTATACGGGGCCTTTTGGTCATCATATAGGTAACGAATACTCGAACCCCCAAAATCTTGACGTATTAAAGTTAGATGCCTTTAAGCTTACCATGTTGCCTTACCAAGTACTAATACGAAGGACGAACATTAGAGTGTTCACGAGATACTAATATTTCAAAGGTTAATCATGAGTAGGTACTTCATGTTATATGTCGTATCCGTTAAGGAGGAGAGATACAGCCTGTTGAACAAGGTTCGTGACCTCATCCCTCTTCACGTCATTAGATGATGACGGATAAACACTGTCCGCTCCTCTACATATACATGTAGATCTCTATATTTGTTTTATTTTAAATGTCGGTTTAACGTTTACAATTTAACTAAAGAGTTAAGGCAGGGAGTAGGAAAGATATCGATGAATAGTACCATCCATCATACATACCTATATTAGGTACAAACACGTACATACATATCTTACTGTACTTGACATATTAATCATTAAAAATCACGGAACAGACAGGGTGAAGAATATCACCGGGTAGTTTTATCATATATTCGTACAATATCCACTTGCTGTGCGGCGATAAAATCGATGGATAGACCGGGATTGACTAAAAATCAATATATCAAATCATTATTCCGATCTGTCATGAGGAGAATAAGAGGGTGAAGTTGATCTTAACCCATGGCCTCATCATAGATGAACTAATATCGACAAGGATTGGATCCACTTTTGGAACATGGCCTCTTATTATCTATGTACATAATATGAATGTATGTACGGATGTCCCTTTCAAAAGTTTTTACCATAGGAAGACCCTTGTCACCCCCGGCAAGCTTTGACCAAGCTTGGCAACAACTGCTCACCTTTTTAACATGTGTATCTTATTTTACTCTACTATTTCAATAGGGTATAACTTTCTTAGAATAAATTCTAAAATTCCCTAAAAATGTAAATTATAAATATAAATGACTTGTTTTTAATATGATAGTTTTCTATTTTATTTTAGATTTATATTTGGCTGTAAAACCTAGTAGTAAACCTTAGGGATAATAATGTATACATCTTTAAATCACCCGACAGCTGCTGGCCAAGTATCAAACAGCTGGCGACAATCTTGACAGGGGTTCCCTATGGTAAAAACTTTTGAAAGGGACATCCGTACTCTCTTGAGATATAATATCTTAACAAATAGTAAATTTGTTTTATGAATTTTTTAAATTAGGTATTCTATATCTGAAATTAAGAATTCATATCCTAATACTTAGCATTTGTCATATTAAAGATGTTAAAGTGTAAATAGATAATAATACCTACCTAGATAGCATATATAGGTACCTAGGTAGGTAGGTACCTATATTACCTATATTAGTGTACATCAGGGTCGATGCTGGTTAGAATTTCTGAAATTGACGTGAAGGATGCCAAGATTAAATTTGGGAAGGCGTTCTAAAATATACGCTGAAAGGTACATTGATAACCTCAGCCTATTACTAGTAAAATGTATACAAAGTATACATAATTCCGTTCTCAGATATGCGCCTACATCGGACCTTTGACCCATAGGTTTTTCCATCGCGTCTGTCTCAACCCATACTTCTCGACTCCCCCCAGTTCCCCCGTTCTGCAAGCTCCTCGCAACTGCTCTTTACTCTACATATTCTGCACTACACTTTTTTTTTTGCACTACCGCCCGTGCTGTATGTGCAAGGAAGCTTGTACGTTTTCTTTCCACTGTCTTATCTCCTCCTTCTCTCCCCCCAAATTTTTAAAAATCCACCTTAGCGCAAGCCCCAAAAGCCCAAAGCCCAAAGCACCAAAGCACCAAAGTACGGGGGGTCCCTTGCCTTAACTACCTTCATTTACCTTAACATTTAACATCTCTCTCCACGCACCATACCTATTAACTACCTCCCTACATATTAACTTAACCTACCTACATAGGTACCTAACCTACCTATCTACCTGTACCATACATAGAGGTAACCACACCTACCACATTCTGGTACTTACACATACACTTGCCTTGCCTTACCCTCGCACACTACCCATCATCTTCCGCCACTATTCTTTGCCAGTCTCGGCTCAGATCCGTAGAATTATATCCTTCTAATTCTATTCTTCTTAATATTTCCCCTTCTTCCAATATTTATCACCACGGCAGCAATCCCCTTATTATTTTAACATTTTGTTTGTGTGCCTATGCATCTCTGGATATTGCCTGGTCTTTTGAATGTCTGCAAGGTCGCATCCACCGTGCGCGATTTCGAATTCGCCTAATAATTGGCTTCTTGTTGTGGAAGGAAAGCTAGCGCTCCGCCTACACCACAGAAGCCTTGCGATCTCGTGTTGAAGGGATACACAAAAAGAAAAATTTACAGTCTGCAAGACAGAGTAGAGAGTAAGAAAGAGAGAGCACACGAGATAGGAATAGAATATTTGCACTGCAACAGTGCTGCCAACAGTGCTGGACGCGGGCAAGCAAAGGCATCTTTCTGCCCCCATCACCAAGTACAGCAGTACAGCAGTACAGCAGGAACAACAGGAACAGCAGGACAGACAGCAGGACAGCAGGACAGCCAGACACACAGTGCAGCTTTTTAAATCTATTTCTACATATACAGTACCTATCTTAGGTACCTAAAGCTGTACCTAAAAGCATCTTACCCACCTAAGTTCCATCTGCTGTTCGCTATCGATCAAGACCTACCAAGACGGGACCTACCAAGCGATCCTCGCAAAATCTCGTCTAGCCCTCCGACGATTATACTCTCTCTCTTAACCTCTCCTCCCCTTACTATTACCCTTTTGAGCTGTCGCGTTCGATACGGGATCTAAGGTTATTTGGACTACCGCTTGAGGAGAAATAATAAAACTTCATTGGAAGAGAGGGGGGTTTTTTATTTCTTCTTCTCTCAAGGGACCAAAGACAAGAAAAAATCCATTAGCTGTCATCCTGTTGGCGCCCTCTCTCATTCGCTATAACAAAGCACCAGCCCCCAATAACGACCGCTATTATCAGCACCTACCACCGCCACGACCAGACCACCACGCCCATACCACCCGACCGAAAATCGACTGACAAACCCATCTTCGCCATCACCGCCGTCGCACCAAAAAATCCGACATACATCCACCACCTTCACTTTTTCTCATCCACTCGTCCATTTTCTACTTATTAAATCTACCGCCACTCGCGATACTTTATACCACCATTTCTTTACATCTTATTCGCGGTTTTCATTCCTGGACTCTGTATACCAAAGGTACCTTTGATATCCGCATTTCCTGGTCGCATCCTCTTTCGCTCCTTTTGCATAGCTAGAGGATTCGAACTCTTGCCTAATCAATATTTCCCGTCTAGCAAAAAGGGCGAAATCCAAAACTAGGATTCCTTTCCCGAAACGCACCGTCAAGTACCGGATTGCTCAGTCGATTATTACACTTACGCGCATTCGTTTCTGTCTTGTCCGACTAGTTTTTCTTCCGTCGCTGACCAAGAAACGAGCACCCGATATATTTGATCGATTCATCGCGGCATCATAACACGACTTTCCATAGCTAGAATTGAGCCTCACGGTCGCTAAGCTTGGCTCCCATCACCGCGACACGCACGCGCATTTGCCCTGT